TAGATTATCGCGTTAACTATGGTTTACAGATGTGAAATATAGATTAACGTTGTTAACTATAGTTTACAATTTGTAAACTATAGTTTACAACCGATAAACCTAGTTTATCGATTGTGAAACTATGATTATCTCATTTTTGTGAATTTGGCGTGCCATACATATTCCACAATAGACCTTTCTTTGGGTACAAATATATTTGATCACTTTACATTGACTTTGGAGATTGGCCAACTTTTGCAAAAAAAAAAACAAAAAAAAAAACTAATCTTTGCCATTTGCATTAACTTCTGAAAGATTATTGCCAGGTATTTCGTACCAAACTTGTGTTTTCATTGTGACAAGGTCTCTCCATGGGTTTAAATATTTTTACCTTTTGGTTTTGACTTTAGGATGTGATCTACTTTTATTTTCAAAAAACTTAAAACTCGGTCATAACGTTTCAACAGCAGTGTCTTCCCACAATTTTTTTTATTAAAATGGAAAATTTGGTGTTATGACTATTTAAATTTTCCATTTTAATAAAAATTTGTGGGAAGACATTAGTATTAGGGCTATCGTTTAACACATGTGTATACCCTATGATAAGACCTGCCCTTGGATGCCATCAATTTTGATTTCTTGACCATGACTTCAGAGCTTGACCTTTTTTGAAAAAGTTTAATTTTAGCCCTATGGCATACGTGGTGCGAGAGCTTTCATATTTCACATATGTAACTCTTATTACAAGGTTTTCTCCTTGGAAGTAGTGATTTTGACCCTAAAACTTGACTTTGAAGTTTCACCCACTTTAAAAAAATTAGCTTGACCATAATTTTTGAGTGATTGGTTTTTTTTCCCACAGAATTATTCATTGAGACAGGTCCTTTTTTAGGATTACAGCATATTTTTTTTTATCTCTTGACATGTGATTTTAACTTGCCTTTGAGAAATTCCATCAATAATAAAGAATCGGGAACAGTAGCTTGGGAATTCTTAATAACCATGAAAAGTAAATTGTGTTCCCTATAAGAGTAATTATCTAAGCCTACCACAGCAAAATTACAAATCTGAAATCGTTTGAAATGGCTTATGTCAGGTATAAGTTAAATTTATTGCCATTGCATGTGAACACCGCATTAAAAAATAATGTTGTTTTGGTCTGCACTGTTCGTTAAAAATATATAGGAATATACCGTAGACGATTTCACTATTTTTTTTTCACTCGATGTCTTTTTAATCATTTCAGATACGGTACATCTTGTTGATTTTAAATGATTTTTTAAATGCATTTTTGATAATTTTTTTCTCCTTTATACGCAGTTAGGCTATTCATCGCCTAACAATTTCACATTTTGCAAGTTTCTTTGTTTGTAATAAGATACATGAAAAAACCCAAACAGTATTCAATCTCAAAGTCCACTAAACAATACAATTTTTTAAGGAGAACAAACACGGTCATCTAAAACATTAGAGATGGGATCAGATGCCATTGTAACGTGTTGAGGGGTCGTACCTGGTTGATTCCAGGATCTCGGTAAAGATTGATATTAATAACAAATAATCTTCCTTTAAAAAATGATTGGCCTGCAAATTTATACAAATATGGCCCTTCCCTTACTTAGGGGAAAATCACAGTTGAATGTCGGCCTAATATTTACAAAAACTACGGGTTCACACAATGGCACCGGACCGACACCAATATTGCCTTACTCAGACTCGTAGTGTCAGTCACGACGCTAAGTCCAATCTCCCAGTGGTCAGCCTCTGACAACAGAAGATACTGAATTGTCCTTATTCAGGACGCACAGTCATCCACTGCTTTCAGAGACTTACACTATCTTAAAAGCCTCAGAGGGTTGACTTGCCTCTATGTCGGCCTCTAAATGGTAAGTCACAAACCAATACTACAAATCTATTGTGGCAAGCCTTTACCGATAGGCAATCCACCTAGTATTGTCAAATAATTGTGGCAAGCCTCAATATTAGGCAATCCACCCAACTAACCTTATATCGGTCTTCTTCTCTCCGTTGCTTGGACTCAAAGAACCCTGCAGCTTAGCTGTGCTTGCTTATATACCTTTGTTTAAGTCACATGATCAGCTAAGGTCACATGATCAGCTTCAGCCAATCACAGATCTCAAGGCCCAACTTGCATAATTGGAATACACAATACACAAACCCATCAATTGTTACACCATGAAGGAGAGAGTTTCCCCTGCTGACAGGTCACACCCGTTCTGTTTTTTTTCTTTGTCAGGATCGGGATATATCGGGAAGATTTGTAAATAATGGCCTAAGAATTAGTATAAAAACGTCAGTCAGGATTTGACTCAATGAAAATTTGTGTTTGCTGACAAGGTCGTTTGTATTGACCATAGAACTTTCGAAATAAAAACTTTACATGAGACTGATTTTGGTTTCATCTACTTGTTTGTCATTGACTTACCTCGTTTTAGAAATTGTTCATGCGTAGAGTAAGCTCTTGTGTATCAAATCAACAGAGAGATATAAATCAAGTATGCAGGTGATGAAAGTATATTGCTGCATAAGTAAGGGAGGTTGATGATTGAAAACGTTTAACGTAAAGCTTGGTTAGATTACCGTTAACGTCTTTTCCTAGTAAAATACATGTATCAAAATATGAAACAAATGAGTCAGACTCTGTGATATCTTTTATTCCAAGCTCACCTGGGTATATCGTATCGACATAAGAATGGTATAACCATTGTTAATTGACAATACGTTGTCGATATTTCTAAATGTCGAGTTGAAGGTACCAGCAAGTGTTTTTTTCTTTTTACGTGTAAGATTTTCAACAAATTCTCCTTCATATGAATAAAAACATAAGTCTTCTAATAACGGGGCGCAATTGATACCCATTGGAATTTCAATGAATTGATGGAAGAGTTCGATATTAACTTCAGAGTAACTGTTTGTACAATTAGAATGTTTCCATTAATAATAATTTTTACAAAGACTAATGAAAATTTAAGTAAAGATTAATTTTGTTGTCAATGCTATCAAAAAGCCTGAACTTTCATTTATCGTAAGGAATGGTTATATGAAAAGTTGAAAAGTTGTAAGTTTTATTGTGTTAATTTTGGTAAAATTTTGTGATTTCAGATTTTCCAAAAGTTCATTGGAATTCTGAATTGTATTCGCATTTTATTTATACCACTTCTCGAATTTATTGTTGCACAGTACTCTTGAAGTTTCTCCTTCATTGATGCATGTTTCATCTCTCATTAGTATTAAGGGGTTAATTTAGATTTGATCCTGTACTTAGAAGTTTAATGATGTTGGTAATTTCTGATACTCGTCAGGCATTGCTTTTATCGTTAAGTAGCTTCCTTCAGAATGAGCACTGACACCCATTAGGTTAATCTTGGGTCAAATTCAGGATTCTACATGAAAGTTTAGATGTGTGCATTCTTTTTATATATTTTTTTTTAGATTTGAATCAAATATTTTAAATCAGGAAAATCAATACCTATTTATTTATTTAAAAGCCTCAAGTTGATCAGCAATCTTCCTCATGCCAATCGTCTCATTCTGTCATGTTGAGATGTCATTGACTGCTGATGCCACAAGTTAGATTGTTACGTAAGATTACTGATACTCTCAGTAAACGCATTCTTTTGTTGACTGACAACTCCGATTTTGCAAAGTAATACAATATAATACCATTGCACTTTATCAATGTCAAATTTCCCTTCAGCATTTTAAAAATGATAAAATGCTGTAGAATGATAGAATTAAGGTCCTTTATGACAATTGCCTATTTGACATTTAATTAAAACCTTCTGTGACCTTAAATATATTCAGTTTTCAAGGAAAACACCAAAACATTAAAATTAACGATTAATATCGCCTATTCTATTATAACACGAAAGACGACGATATCAATATGACATGTGGACAGGCAATGGGATCTGATTATTATCGCTGATTAAGATAGACAGATTAGCTAATTACCCCTCTTACATGATGTGAGTTCTAGGAAGGGAAGACTTAAAGAATACCACACGGATATCGATTAATTCATTGACATGCAGTTCTGTTTAGATGAAAATTTTCGGAACCAATAGATATGTATTATTTTTATTAATTACTTTGCAATATCTTAAAATATTTTATTTTTTTCAATGTATGTGGGACTGTAATCGCATCATCACTAAAGAATAGTCGCAATACCCTTAAAAACTTTTTAAGTGACATTTCTTAAATCTCCGTTCATAGTATTAACTACAAAGAGTTACGGTTCACAATGGCGGCGGTATAGAACAACATGCTGGTTCCCTTTGGTTGTGATCACATTTCAAACAACTTATCAATGCTTTTAAATTGTTTTTTGTTTAAATTGTGTTCATGTTCTTACATATTTTTTTTGCCCCCGTAAACGAAGATTCGAGGCTGTAAAGTTTTTGCCCGGTCTCTCCGTCTGTCTGATTTAACACTGCCTAAAACGTCTGATTGGATTTAGATTTCACGTGTTTTTCGTATGAAAAGAACTTTCTTTGGGTAGCAACATATTTGACCTCTTGACATTGGCATCGGAGTTCTATCTAAGAATTTACCAAACTTTTCCTTGGTCATAACTTTTGCACATGCAGTTGGTGTTAGGGCTTAGATACTCCACATGTTTATTCATTGTAATACTTGCCTTTCCATGGATGAAGATGATTTTGACCTTTTAAACTTGGACATAACTCTGAACAGTTAGGATAAGGACCCTCTCAAGTATATTTCACGTGATAAGGTCTTCCTTAGGATACCAACATTTGACCTTTTGACTTTGACCTTGGAGTTTGACTTTTTTGCATTTGAGAAAAGTCAACCTTCGAAAAAGCATTTATAGGGGGCGTTAGTGTTTTACAAACACATCTTTTTTTCGGAAACTAAGGCTGCTTTTTTTACTTCAGATGTACAACTTAGAAGAACAAGTTAGGAAAAAAGTAAAAATGCCTTATTTCTAACCAAGAGGTGCACTTGGTTAAACCTGTATTTCTTTTTACTTGCAGTTGCTAGCTCCACAGTTTATACACGCCATTAAACCTGCGATCGGTGATCAATGGACGCCCGCAGTGGAACAGGCCTGGAACAATTTTCTAGAGTATATTACAGATATAATGAAGAACGCTATGTTACAGGCCACGTGATCTCTCTTAGGTTCTGTGAATTATTTCCCTTGATTTAACCATTCAAATTGTTCAATGTATCTGTATGTGTGAGAGAAAAATAGTTTTTGCACGGAAAAGAGTGTTTGGAAGAATATATATTTCAATAAATCATTAGCACTGTCATTTGTTGTATATCACGGACAAAGATTCCATGCAAGTCAACCTGTGAACACCAAGGTATAGAAATGAAACCCTAATGACGGATTGGCGTGACAAACGAAGGTCAGGTTGATGGTAAAACATAGCGCAACGCTCAGTCAGGGAACCTGTAAATAAGCGCCAATATCTATCATTTTTCGAGAATGTGTTTCCTTCATACGTTGATGAGTTTATGTTTAAAACGGTGCACTAATGGAAGATAGTTTAATCTTCATTACTCCAGAATTAAGATTAAAAAGCTGTAGGTGCGGGTACAGTTCACTCTGCTATAGACAGGAGTTTTACATCAAGCATTCTCACTTTATATAAATTAACTTCACACCTGCAAAACGACACAGTACGTAAATTGTAATCGCTGGCTGTTTTCTTCAGACTGCACTTAGATAAAATGACGTAATCTGTCTAATTTCCTTTGTTTGTTAAATCATCTCATAAATTCATCAAACGCGCACATTATTTACAAGAAATTACAGATTGATTATTCTGTTGAAAAGGAAGAGCAGATTTAGATGCTAATTTTAAACACGTTACACTAGGCGACGGCTGGCGTAACTACAGAAGGTTTTATGGTGAAATTCGGTTACATTCTGAATCTAGTGTTATGTGGACAATTTAGCAAGCTAGTTACATTCATCATATTGATATTTTTAAATGTTGTTTACTGCCACCCGATAAATTCAAAATTTATAAAACAGATAATATCAATATGCGAAAAAGAATATTTTAATTCTACAAAACTTGGGATATTGTGTCAAACAGAAGTAACCTTTTAAAAATACATAAATTATTTCTACAGTTTCCGACTTCATGGGTTTATTTTGTGCGTTAGGCTTTATTAATGAAACCGTGACATTTGTGTTTTTGTTAATTGAATTCTTTCCTAAAACAAGTCTGCAGCCAGACGGGGCTGCTAAATTGACGAAGCTATTCTTATAGCAATACTGACGAGGTTCTAAGATAAACATTCCTAAAGAATTTGTCTAAACAATTGTTTCCACGTTGTATTTTATTCATGGAGTGTATCAAACAATTTACACCACATATAATATTGTTATTATTTTCGACTGATGTTTGGATAAAAAAAAAATCGTCTTCAAAGAAAAATTTACAAACTGAACCTAGGAGTGAGACAGAAAGTAAACACAGAAACATAAGAAGTAAGGGAAAATGCCACCAAAAAAAAAAAAAAGGAAAAAAAAGAAGAAAAAAGAGAGGGAGATATTTTATGTTCTCTGGATTTATACATTTAACAATGACCAGAAGTAGGAGGAGTGGTGGCGTAGAAAAACAAAATATTAAAAATTAATTTAATACACGTAACTCAGAAAGACAAAGACAGACAGACATACATACAGAGAGACAAAGACAGACAGGGAACAGATGATAGAACATTGGCTACATCGTAAAGGAGAACATTTTAAAAAGTTAAAACTGTAACATGCCGCCATAGACTCTTCATACTACTGGTGCTTGTCAGACATTGAAAATTAAAAAAAAAGTAACGTACAGAAAATTAAATATTTCTTCTTCTTCACCCTATATCTATAGTCCTGCTGGATACGTTATTACAGGTGACGTAAATATAGTTAATAATGAGGACCTTAGTTCACTTATTTTAAAAGGTCCTAAATATAGGGAACCCCGATCCTTCAACTGGCGTCAGAATTTCATAAATATTATGGATTCTGTTGAAGATTAAGCCAGTAGATATGATATGAATATATATATATATATATATATATATATATATATATATATATATATATATATATATATATATATATATATATATATATATATGAAACTTTGTCAGAATGGATTAAATGTATCAGATCCATGTTAAAATTTCGTATCAAAGGACTGAGGGGCAATATGAAAACCACCTGTCCTTCTGCATGTATTCAATCATCCAGAAGAGAAAAAAGAATTAGATAGATTACATGATCAGTACGTACTGGTCCCTGCTGACAAAGCAGGTAACAACATTGTCTTCGTTTGTAAGGCTCATTATATAAATTGTATTTTAGAAGAACTTTGATTTAATTCTACAAGTGGTAATCCAACTTACAGTTCCCTTTCTTTGGAAGAAATTCAAAATCATATGTTAGTTTTGTATATTTTTAATATCCCAAAGAACCAAGATGAATTTGAATACCGTATATATGTTGGATTCTGAAATTTCATAAGAATCTTTACAAAAACGGATAAATAGCGGGTTCCAGTAAATGTTTAACCAAACCTCTTTCTTTACTCCTCACTAAGATATTAACAGTATTGTAGGAGAAACTTCAAGAGTATTGTGCAACAATACATATATATCCAAGATGTGGTGTAGATGTGGATACTTAAAAATTCCAAGGAACTTTTGGACAATTTGAAATCAAAAGATTTTACCAAAATCAACAGTTTAAAAAATTTCAACTTTTCAACTTTATACACAACCATTCCCCACGACCAATTAAAGTCCAGGCTTTTTTAGCTCACCTGAGCCAAAGGCTCAAGTGAGCTTTTCTGATCAAAATGTGTCCGTTGTCTGTCGTCGTTGTCGTTGTTGTTGTTGTTGGCGTCGTTGTAAACTTTTCACATTTTCATCTTCTTCTCAAGAACCACTAGGCCAGTTTCAACCGAACTTGCCACAGTGTATCCTTAGGTGAAGGAGATTCAAGTTTGTTCAATTGAAGGGCCACGCCCTCTTCCAAGGGGAGATAATTATGAATTAGTGAAAATTTAATGGCATTTAAAGAATTTTCTTCTCAAGAACCACGGGGCCAGGTAAGATGAAACTCATGTGGAATCAGTAGTGTAGATTCAAATTTGTTCAAATCATGACCCCGGGGGTTGGGCGGGGTCACACTGGCTGACCAAAGTTTACCATAGAAATATATTATACACTTATCCAATGGTTGTGAGTGGGATAGCTCTTTTATCAAACCCGCGACAGGGAACTATTCCCCGAGGGCTTGCCCGAGGGGAATAGTTCCTGTCAAGGGTTTGATGAAAGAGCTATCCCACTCACAACCAGTGGATAAATGTTTTATTATACTGATGTATAATTACAAGTTTTGAGGTTGAATTTTTGTAAGTAAGATAATATTACAAGAATAATCTGACATCATGATGACGTCACAATGCTACTGAAGTCATTATGACATCATCAGTCAATAGATTTGTCGCTGGAAATCAAAATTGGAGGCAAAAATTGCATGAAAATTTTCCGAGGGTGGATAGCAAAAATTATTATACTTCTGTTAAAATGTTTCCTATATAAAGTTCAGAAGGTAAAATAGCTATCCTTTATAGTTCACACATAGCGAAGCTATACCCCGGGGTATAGTTTTTGCTATCCACCCTCGGCATATTTTCATGCAATTGTTGCCGCCAATTTTGATTTCCAGCGATAAATCTTTAAATGATGATGTCAAAATGACTTCAGTAGCATTGTGACGTCATCAGGATTTCCCATTATTCTTGTAGAATTATCTTACTTCAACAAAATTTAAACCTCAGAAATTATATTATACGAAACGCTTATCCACTGGTTGCGAGTGGGATAGCTCTTTCATCAAACCCTTGACAGGAACTTTTCCTCTCGGGCAAGCCCTCGGGGAATAGTTCTCTGTCGCGGGTTTGATAAAAGAGCTATCCTACTCACATCCAGTGGATAAGTGTATACTATACCCCGGGGTATAGCTTTGCTATGCGTGGACTATCAAAGATAGCTATTTTACCTTCTTAACTTTATATAGGAAACAATTTAACAGAAGTATAATAAAGTAAAATATTCTTTAAAAATCTTTTCAGGAATAGCAAAGCCATGATTGGTCATGCATGTACTTGTATGGAAACATTCTCGGGTAGTGTAGATTCAAGTTTGTGCAAATCATACCCTCTCCCATTTAAGGAATGGTTAGGACTACTTTTGGGTTTAAACTTTTCAATAATAAACTTTATGCTAGCCACAGTGATCAGGTGAGCGATGTGGCCCATGGGCCTCTTAAAAATGGAACTCGTAAATTTACTTACTTTACCATTAGTCATTTGCAAAATTATTTTGTTAAAAATCATTCTGATTGTACAATCAGAACAATGGAACTATTTTCGTCTTATAGTGTACTTATTTGTAAGTACTCTGAAGGGTTTGTTCCCATCTCGCCTTAACTGTAAAATTTAGCATTCCCATTTCGCCTTAGTAAGCTCTAAGGTGAATTAAGGCGATGAAGATTTAAAATATTAAGCATAAAGTAACTTCTAGTATTACATGTATTATTTCATTCACAATATTTAGAAATTCCCATTAATTGTTAAATTCAATCAAAAAAATTTTAAAATTTTGTTTTTTATATCAACCTAGTACTAATATTTATAAATACTAAAATTCCCATTTCGCCTTAGTACTTTTTAATTTTTTCTTACCTGAATTTCACAGTTATGGCGAAATGGGAACACACCCTCTGAAGTTGACATGAAAAAGATTTTTGAGTTTCTGATTGACAATTAATTTTTATGTTGTTTTTGGAGACCAGGTCTTCTAACAATCTATTGGAATTCCCATTTGCACCAATTGCGCCCCGTTTTAGCAGACCTATTGTTGTATTCATATGAAGCAGAATTTGTGCAAAATCCTATGCGTGAAATGAAAACAGTTGCTGTGGCCTTCAACTCGACATTTAGATATATCGACGACGAATTGTGAAGTTTAAAATGGTAATTTCCATTCTTATGTCGATTCGATATATCCTGGTCAAAAGATGAAAGATACCACAGAGTCTGACACATCTGTTTCATATTTAGATATTTAACTTGAAAAAGACTTTAATGGTAATCTAACAACCAAGCTATATGATAAACGTGATGTCTTTAATTTTTCTATCGCCAACTTCCGTTACTTGTGCAGCAATTACCTGCATGCGAAGTTTATATATCTCAGTTGATTCTACATGCAAGAGCATGCTCTACGTATGAACAATTTCTAAAACGAGCCTTAACGAGGTAAATTATTGACAAGCAAGTTGATGAAACAAGAATATCAGCTGCCACCTTCAAAGTCTTAATTTCGTAAGCTCTATTGTCGATACAGTGACCTTGTCAGCAACTACAATTTATCATTGAGTAAAATGCTGACTGACGTTTTTCATACTAATTGTTAGACCATCATTTATACACTTAATTGTCGACGGATTTTTCCGTTATTCCCCGACCATGACAAGGAGCACACGGCGGGTGTGACCGGTAGACAGGGGATGCTCACTCCTCCATGGCACCTGATCCTACCTCTGATGTTTTGAGGTCCGTGTTTGCTCTGCTCCTATTTTGTATTTTGTTCTGGACTTTTCATCTTGAATGCAGTTCCTTATCTCCATATGTTTTATTCTTAGACAGATTGGGGGAAAATGGTGAGAGTAGCGGATCAGAAACCTTTTTGTAGCTGCAATAATGTAGCTTCTCCGATTTTTTATCTGATTCTTCTGGAGAGGACTAGCCCCCCCCCCCCCAAAAAAAAGGGGAGGGTCTTTGCAGCTATTCCGGCTCCTTGGCTAATAAAGGTGCCCACTTTTCAGATCAGAGCGTGGCTGGCCTGCATGTTAATATTGTATTCTTCTATAGGTACCATGCTTCATGATTTGTAAGTATACATAATAGATGTATAGGCTACAAAAATCCTTTTTTGTTTCACATGTTGTTCGAACACTCACAACTCAATGGCACTAAGTGCTACCTAAAGGTCTAACCTTGAATTTGGTGCAATTTACCTTCTTGATCGACCAATTTGTAATTCCTTACTCTTGCAAGAGACGTTTACAAAGCAACAACTAAAAATTATCAAATATTGGTACAAATCAAAAACTTTGAAAATAAACATTTCATTGAAAAACCGATAAACTCGTTTGTGATTATACTGTTTGCAACACGTTGAAAGATTATCAAATAATTAATCCACTGGGCTTCCATAGGGCAAGACCAATGTAAGTAAACAATTGGTAAGTATACAAGTGTTTCATTTATCATATGTATAATATATTTATTACAGTGTGATCCACATCGGAATTTTCATCTTTAAAGAATAGCTTCCTCTAGTTGCACAAAAATATTACCTTTGAAATCGTTGTCTTTTTTATTTAACATATAGGCCTAGACACAAAAATATTTGGTTACGAAACAAATGCAACCCGAAATATTATTAAACTATTCTAAATATATTTGTTTTATTTTTTACGTCAATTCAACCAAAGTGTCAAAAGTTTAAAATTCCGTGGTCTTCTCTGGTAGATAAAACGATTAAAAATAAAATAAACTAAATAGAAGTGTGTAGAGAGTATGGACCACCGTAACACCCAATATCCTTTAAATTCCACGTATCGCTGGTTCTCTCGCCACAATCCTCGAACACTATCTCAACTTTTATAGCTGGGTTTTAGTTGAATCCAAATCCAAAATACGTTTTATTTAAATAAAAATATGATTATCTTGTAACTTTTTTTAACATAAAGGTTATTTATGCGATTCAGTCGAATTCACTAAACACTATTTAAGGAATCACTATCTAGTTAGGAGAGTATGCCAGGGACATCAACAATCCTAACTAGACAGTGATTTCTTATATTTCCATTTTTACTTGAAATTACAATCTTAAAATAAATCGAAATACCGTCAGTAGATTTGAAATGCACGAGGTCCCATCACGTCAAATTTTACTATTAAAAAATAGTCCCATAAAAACACGAAACAACATTCATATGATAGTGTTGCATTATGCATGTACTATGCCTAAATAGTACAGGGTTTTACACATGGTGCACGAGCCGGAGGCGAGTGCACTATGTGTCTTTAAACCCTGCCTGTATTTAGGCATAGTACATGCATAATGCAACACTATTGTTATTATTATGCTGACTGTTGTAATCATTTATGCGGCAATCCATTTGACTTTTTCCTGAAAATATCGGTGCTAACACAGCGCACTTGCAAGAACTCATTCAAAATCTTCATGCTAAAATTGGTTGCATGCTTAGTTATTTTGGTTACTAGTATTATTTCTAAATAAGTCGGGATTTTCTGTCCCAAAGCAACTCATCTTTATTTTCTGTTTTGTTAGTAAGACTTATTTATTTGCAGACGTCGATTCTCATTGATAATTTTCTTTTACATCCTTCAATCAAGCGTCATATAAAAAAGCGTTTTAATGACCCTATGAAATCAGTTCATCTAACGATCTATATGTAATTAGTGTGAAACTTTGTTGTACACATTAATCTAAGGTTCTTCTATTTTCTCCTTCTTGTGTCAATTGTATAAATTAAGATTATATATTTAATAAAACTCTCCTAATCAGTGATCGTCTCTGTGGCGTAATCGATAAGGCATCGAACTGACAATCTGATGGTCGTGAGTTCGATCCCCGGCGTGTGCATTGAAGAATTTTATTCAGTAAATAAAGCCGTGCACTATTTCGGCATAGTATGTGTACGCTATATAAATCCTTAGACCACTATGCGAGAATAGTAGGGTATGGGTTATATAGACACAAACTGACAGGAAGCATAATAATATTGATTATTTAGTTACTGTAGTCAAATATCAATATTTACAAAATAAACAACAAAAGAATTTTAAATTATGACTAAAGCAATCTTGTTAACTTTAAATATATATGTGACCTAGATTTAAGTTGTCAGAAGCACGAACGCGTGTATATGCCCCATGTCACTTCTCCGCCGCCATATTGAATGCAATGCAGTTGATGAAACGGGAGTTGGTCAGCATGGTCAGGAAACAGATTTGTGTGGATGTTAAAATAGCAGAGGAAGTTGAGTTGCTTAATTAAGAAGTCGGATGATAATGACTGAGGGACGATGTCTGTATCAGATGATGGAGAGAAGATCTATGTGGCAATGCCGATTTCTCCACGTGGTTCAGATGGGCTGTTTACCATGTTTACGGAATTGGGGTTCTCGGTCTCGCGAGACCTCGATGAAAGTGGACAGCGTTGCGCTAGTGACTTGCTTTTAATCCGAAGATGATTCATTATTTATTTTGTTTGTTAACAGATATATCATATCTAATTACTTATAGTAAACAATAAAAAACCCATCTTTTTTCTTTAGTGTATTTATACGCCAGTGATATATACATGCAAGTTGACATTTGACCTTTCAGTAGTATTTCAATAGAGAAATTTACATTCCACAGGAATCACGGAGAAATTAACAAGGTTCACTTTTGTAGTGTTATCGTAGGGAAAACAATTGGAAATGGAAATATAACTCTGTTAATAACTAAATGAAAACACATACCGGGGTATACTAACAGAATGAGTTTGATTGTTTTGATTATTATTAAAATAAGTCAGGATAAAAAGAGTATTAGTATAAACACATTTTTCCAGATGATGTCTTCGACAAGTCGTCCATCAATTGCTATAATCGGGGGCGGAATATCCGGATTAGTCTGTGCTATACGGCTGGGACAACTCGGTTTCTCTAAAGTGACCGTCTTTGACACAGGTGCATATGCCTTTCATATAATTTAACAGCAAATTGATTATTCTGTTGGGATTAAATTTTCTAACGTACCTTTAAAGTATAATACTAAGATTATGTTACATTATATATGTCTGTTACAGCTGATATTGAAATAACCTTAAGTCTTTAAATTTTGGAAGGGTTAGGGTTATTTGGAATATGATTTATTGTTTATATTTTGGAAATAATTATAAATGATTTTGTGTGATGTTGACAGGTAAACGTGCAGCAGGAGGGCGCTGCTCGAGCCGGAAGTTGATGATCAATGGCCAGCTCCACACCTTTGATCACTCCTGCCAGTACTTCACCGTCTCCGACAGAAGATTCGCCAAAATCGTCTCATTCCTGCACAACAAGAATGCTGTTAAGATATGGACTGGAAAGATCGGACATCTGAAATCCGGTAAATTTCAAGAAGATCCGAGTTTGACGCAAGCGTTTATTGGTACGGATGGAATGCAGTCCATTGCGGACTGCTTAGCGTCAAATGCCGACGTGCAAAGGCCCGTCTGGGTCAGCGAAGTCTGTTGGGAGGAAGGAAGTAAAAAGTGGAAGGTCGACCGATTCGGATTTTATGATTACTTGGTGATTGCACATAATGGAAAATGTGCAGATAAATTAATGTCGTCTGCCGGTGCACCACAGGTTCACAGTCTTCTCCGCGTAAGATTTAATGACGTATTGAACCCACGTGATCAGCGTATGCATCTGTGTTCTTTGTGGGTGCTTCTTGTTGCATTTAAAACTTCACTTAAATTAAAGTATGACGGTGCCCATGTTGACCACGAAGACATATCATGGATAAGCAACAATACATCTAAATACCGACTGACTAAAGAAACCCTGTCCACCAAGAAAGACTCGGCAGAGTGTTGGACAATCATTAGTACAAAATCCTTTGGAAAGGCCTTTAAAGTGTCACAAGAAAATATTCCACCGTCCACTGAAAAAATGGTGACAGAAAAATTATTTTCGGCGTTCAAAACGGTAATAGCTAGATACGAGCTACCCAGCTTGTGTTACACTGGAGTTCAGCTGTGGGGAGCGGCTGTTCCGATTAACACCCTGAACAATGGGTCAGACTGCGTGTTTGACGGACGTTGTCATGTGGGAGTTTGCGGGGACTGGCTATCCTCCCCATGTATCCAGGGTGCCGCAATTAGTGGATTATCATTAGCAGAAAAGATCCAACAATCCTCCTTGGGCAAGTATTCAATCAATATCTGTTACCTAATGCATCGTTTAAAGATAATAATTTCAACCGGGAATTGGTATTCAATGTGCATAAGCAATCTATCGGACTTTTTCATAGAACCATTTAGATCTAATGATTCTGAAAACAGCAAATGCCTCTGTCAAATCGGAATTATTGTTTTACACGCATTTTCTCATACAATTTTTGTGCACTTTTGTATATTTGTTCTAAAAGAGATAAAAGACAAGGGTGCCGTATTTACTGAACAGTGGAAATGTAACTAAATTATTTTTGTACTTTGTGATTCTACACTCCCAAGCAGGTGTGTCAGTTTCCGCAGTTTTAGACTTTCTAACAATGACCCTTTTCCTTTCTAAAACATGGTTATCTCTTTCATTTGCAGGACAATTCGCTGTGAATACCAGTTTACAGGCGACGTTTAAAGCGACGTCATCCAGTGCCATAGGCAGTTTCCCAACGGACAAGTCTTTGATATTTTCTCCTCAAAGTTAATTTTTTAAATTAAAGTGATTAAATCATACATCATGCAAAATGTTTTACTTGTTTCTCTGATAAATTTGTATTCAACAAAAGGAATGTTACCTACTTTAGGCGATATTTACCGGAAGTTTCATAAGTATCCTCGATCGATGTTTTGAACACAGGCACTTGGGGTGTGGATCCCCCTTCCCTCCTTTCTACTTTTAGCTCCTCTGAGCTAAAAGCTAAAAAGAGCTAATGCTATGGCCATTTGGGAGGCGTGCAGTGTGCGTAAACTTTTTCTTAAAGAAAATAGGCCACAACTTAAGAAACCTTTGGCCAATCATTGTCAAATTCTTGGCCCAAGGGCTTGCGTATATATCAGAACTAGGGTTGTGACCCTGTAACAAGGGGAGATAATTTAAAAACCGACGCCCCTGTCACGACAGGCGTAAGCATAATAAAGATTCCTCACTGCTCAATGGCTTTGGATGCTAATGAAAGGTGTAAATTTAAAGCCTTCCGCCAGTATATGGTTGATTGATTGTATAATGTTTTGCGTCACATTCAAGAATTTTTCACTCATATAGAGACGTCACAGTATATTCCTTTCTTCAGTTAAACCCCTATATACTACCCACTAATTATTCATTCCTTTTCCCTCCCTATACAGTTAAACACCCGTATACTGCCTAAGTATTTAGTCACTCCTTTTCCCTTTCTTATACAGTTTTCACCTGTTTACCGTGTGCTAATTAGTCTCTCCTTACACATCTGTCTAAATTTAACACCTGTATTTTGCCTACTAATTGGTCATTCCTTTTCCCCTCCCTATACAGTTAATACCTGTAATGTCTACTATTTAGTCACTCCTTTTCCCTTTCTTGTACAGTTTACACCTGTTTTCTGCCAACTAACAAGTCACTCTTCACTGTAATTCTTCAGTTAACACTTGTATACTGCCTACTGATAAGTCAATACTTACAATTCCTTTTACAGAAAAAACACCTGTATAGTGTATGCCGCCTACTAATTTGGCACTCTTTACACACCTCCTTATACATTCTATGCCTGTAAATCGCCTACAGTTTGTCCTTTCCTCAGTTAAACGATGAAATACTGCCTATTAAAAAGTCACTCCTAAAAATTCCTTTTAAGAATTTTTTTTCATTTTTTATATTACTAATTTAATATTAAGTCACTCTTTACAACTCCGTTTACAGTAACACCTGTTTACTGCCTACTAAAAGTCACTCCTAATCCTTCCTTTACAATTAACATCGGCATATTGCCTACTAAATAATTACCCCTTACATTTCCCTTTACACTTAATACCTGTGTATTGCCTACTAATTAGGTACTCCTACATTTCCTTTATCGGTAAAAACCTATACACTGCCTATTACTCGGTCACTTCTAACACTTCATTTCTTTGTTTAATCACCTGTATACTGCCTACTAGTCACTTTCACTCCGTACACTGTCTACTTTTTAAGTCACTATTCAATATATTTCCTCAGATAACACCAATATACAATTAACAATTATTTACTGCCTATTAATTAGTCACTTCTCACACTTCCTTTAACAGATAACACCTGTTCACTGCCTACTTATCAGTCATTCCCAACACTACCTTTTACAATTAATACGTATACATGCCTAATAATTAGTCATCTTTACAATTAACACCAGTCCTGTATACTGCCTAAACATTAGTCATTCCTAACCTTTCCCTTTAAAGTTAACACCTGTATATTGCCTACAAATTAGTCACTCCTAACACTTTCTTTACAATTAACACCTGTATACTGCCTAATAATTAGTCACCTTTACAGTTAACACCAGTTCTGTATATTGCCTACAAATTAGTCACTCCTAACACTCCCTTTACAATTAACACCTGTATATTGCCTACAAATTAGTCACTCCTAACCTTTCCCTTTAAAGTTAACACCTGTATATTGCCTACAAATTAGTCACTCCTAACACTTTCTTTACAATTAACACCTGTATACTACCTAATAATTAGTCACTCCTAACACTACCTTTAAGAGATAACACCTGTCCAATGCCTACAAATTAGTCACTCCTAACACTTCCTTTACAGTTAACACCTGTATAGTGCCTACAAATTAGTCACTCCTAACACTTCCTTTACAGTTAACACCTGTATAGTGCCTACAAATTAGTCACTCCTAACACTTCCTTTACAGTTAACACCTGTATAGTGCTTACAAATTAGTCACTCCTAACACTCTCTTAACAATCAACACCTGTATACTGCCTAATAATAAGTCACTCCTACCCCTTCTCTTTCCAGTAAACACATGTGTACTGCCTACAAATAGTCACTCCTAACACTCTCTTTACTATAAACACCTGTATACTGCCTCCAAATTAGTCACACCTAACCCTTCCCTTTACAATAAACACCTGTATAAAGCCTACTATTAAGTAACTCCTAACACTTCCTTTACAGTTAACACCTGTATACTGACTACTAATTAGTCACTCCTAACACTTCCTTTGCAGTTAACACCTGTATAGTGCCTACTAATTAGTCATTCCTAACACTTCCTTTACAGTTAACACCTGTATAGTGTCTACTAGTAAGTCACTCCTAACACTTCCTTTACAGTTAACACCTGTATAGTGTCTACTAGTAAGTCACTCCTAACACTTCCTTTGCAGTTAACACCTGTATAGTGCCTACTAATTAGTCATTCCTAACACTTCCTTTACATTTAACACCTGTATACTGCCTAGTATTTAGTCACTCCTAACACTTCCTTTACAGTTAACACCTGTATAGTGTCTACTAGTAAGTCACTCCTAACACTTCCTTTGCAGTTAACACCTGTATAGTGCCTACTAATTAGTCATTCCTAACACTTCCTTTACAGTTAACACCTGTATACTGCCTAGTATTTAGTCACTCCTAACACTTCCTTTTCAGTTAACACCTGTATACTGCCTACTAGTTAGTCACTCCTAACACTTCCTTTACAGTTAACACCTATATACTGCCTACTAATTAGTCACTCCTAACACTTCCTTTACAGTTAACACCTGTATACTGCCTAGTATTTAGTCACTCCTAACACTTCCTTTACAGTTAACACCTGTATGGTGTCTACTAGTAAGTCACTCCTAACACTTCCTTTTCAGTTAACACCTGTATACTGCCTACTAGTTTGTCACTCCTAACACTTCCTTTACAATTAACACCTGTATACTGCCTAGTATTTAGTCACTCCTTACACTTCCTTTACAGTTAACACCTGCAAACTGCCTACAAATTAGTCACTCCTAACACTCTCTTTACAATTAACACCTGTATACTGCCTAATAATAAGTCACTCCTAACCCTTCTCTTTCCAGTTAACACATGTATACTAATAGTCACTCCTAACACCCTCTTTACCATAAACACCTGTATACTGCCTACTAGTTAGTCACTCCTAACCCTTCCCTTTACAATAAACACCTGTATAAAGCCTACTAATTAGTCACTCCTAACACTTCCTTTACCGTTAACACCTGTATAGTGCCTACTAGTTAGTCACTCCTAACACTTCCTTTACAGTTAACACCTGTATAGTGCCTACTAATTAGTCATTCCTAACACTTCCTTTGCAGTTAACACCTGTATAGTGCCTACTAATTAGTCACTCCTAACACTTCCTTTACAGTTAACACCTGTATAAAGCCTACTAATTAGTCACTCCTAACACTTCCTTTACAGTTAACACCTGTATACTGCCTACTAGTTAGTCACTCCTAACACTTCCTTTACAGTTAACACCTGTATACTGCCTACTAATTAGTCACTCCTAACACTTCCTTTACAGTTAACACCTGTATAGTGTCTACTAGTAAGTCACTCCTAACACTTCCTTTACAGTTAACACCTGTATACTGCCTTCTAGTTAGTCACTCCTAACACTTCCTTTACAGTTAACACCTGTATACTGCCTACTAATTAGTCACTCCTAACCCTTCCCTTTACAATAAACACCTGTATAAAGCCTACTAATTAGTCACTCCTAACACTTCCTTTACAGTTAACACCTGTATAAAGCCTACTAATTAGTCACTCCTAACACTTCCTTTACAGTTAACACCTGTATAGTGCCTACTAATTAGTCACTCCTAACACTTCCTTTGCAGTTAACACCTGTATACTGCCTACTAATTAGTCACTCCTAACACTTCCTTTACAGTTAATACCTGTATACTGCCTACTAATTAGTCACTCCTAACACTTCCTTTACAGTTAACACCTGTATAAAGCCTACTAATTAGTCACTCCTAACACTTCCTTTACAGTTAACACCTGTATACTGACTACTAATTAGTCACTCCTAACACTTCCTTTACAGTTAACATCTGTATAATGCCTACTAATTAGTCACTCCTAACACTTCCTTTACAGTTAACACCTGTATAAAGCCTACTAATTTGTCACTCCTAACACTTCCTTTACAGTTAACACCTGTATAGTGCCTACTAATTAGTCATTCCTAACCCTTCCCTTTACAATAAACACCTGTATAAAGCCTACTTATTAGTCACTCCTAACACTTCCTTTACAGTTAACACCTGTATAGTGCCTACTAATTAGTCACTCCTAACACTTCCTTTACAGTTAACACCTGTATAGTGCCTACTAATTAGTCACTCCTAACACTTCCTTTGCAGTTAACACCTGTATGGTGCCTACTAATTAGTCACTCCTAACACTTCCTTTGCAGTTAACACCTGTATACTGCCTACTAATTAGTCACTCCTAACACTTCCTTTACAGTTAACACCTGTATAGTGTCTACTAGTAAGTCACTCCTAACACTTCCTTTACAGTTAACACCTGTATAGTGGCGTCTGTAGTCTAATGGTTAAGGTGCCGGACTCCAAACCGAAAGGTTGTGAGTTCGAATCCTGGCCGCGGCAAGTCGACGTTGTGTCCTTGGGAAAGGCACTTTACATGAATTTCCTCACTCCACCCAAGTGTAAAAGGGGTACCTGGCTATAGACAGTGAAAGATCTTGTCAGAATGTTAGTGTTCTAGCGCTGATAACGGCAGCTTGCACTGAGAAAGATTCTGGATTGTTAAGGTCTGCTGGGGTAATAATGATTGTAAAGCGCTTTGAGTAGCATTTATGCTAGAAAAGCGCTATATAAATCCAATCATTATTATTATTATTATTATTATTATTATAGTGCCTACTAATTAGTCACTCCTAACCCTTCCCTTTACAATAAACACCTGTATAAAGCCTACTATTTAGTCACTCCTAACCCTTCCTTTACAGTTAACACCTGTATAGTGCCTACTAATTAGTCACTCCTAACCCTTCCTTTACAGTTAACACCTGTATACTGCCTACTAATTAGTCACTCCTAACACTTCCTTTACAGTTAACACCTGTATACTGCCTACTAATTAGTCACTCCTAACACTTCCTTTACAGTTAACACCTATATACTGCCTACTAATTAGTCACTCCTTACACTTCCTTTACAGTTAACACCTGTATAGTGCCTACAAATTAGTCACTCCTAACACTTCCTTTACAGTTAACACCTGTATAGTGCCTACAAATTAGTCACTCCTAACACTTCCTTTACAGTTAACACCTGTATAGTGCCTATTACTCGGTCACTTCTAACACTTCATTTCTTTTTTAATCACCTGTATACTGTCTGCCTACTAGTCATTCTCAATCCATACTGTCTACTTTTTAAGTCACTCTTCACTTTATTCCTTCAGTTAACACCTATATACTGCCCCCAAATTAGTTACTTCCAACACATCCTTATACAGAATAATTTTGGTTTTCGATTGTTAAGATAAGTGCATTGTGCTGTCAGTAGGACATTGTTTTTCTTTTGTTGAAATACTGATTTTTTTTTAAAGTTGCTTACCTTGCACTGTACTAATTACTGCAGTAATGAATCTGATAGATAGAAATGTAGATCCAGTAGATAATTTTAACACTTTAATGAAAACTCATCAAAGAAAGACTGCCAAATTTTCAAATTTATGCTTTTCAATAAGATCAAAACATTTATACCAATCAGATTAATTTATGTGCACTATCTTTAATGAAATTAAAAATTTTGTACATATATCAATGTGACATATAGATTCAATGGGCCTGAGTGTAGTGTAATATATACATTTCTGTTGTACCTATTTTTGTTTAGAAAACTATACACATCACCATAAAATATTTACTTACTTACTATATTCCCCCTCAACCTTTTTCCTTTACCTTAAAACATTTCCAACTATAAACTATAATTACATTATAACTACTGAGATTAAAATCCTGTACAAATAAATCATATATATACCAGTGGTCTCACCTTAAAAACTGGTACAAAAGAAACACATAAACTTGGAATATATATATTTTTATTTTTCAATAAATTGCACTTTAATTTTTAAAACAGGTAAATAGTGACAGCTGGCATTGTATTTAATACAATTTAAGTTGCTTTAAAGACAAATATCTGTAAATTGAGGAGTTATGGACCTTGAAGGTCACCCCAAGAGCCATATAAGTATTCCCAGAACTACATAAGGCAGGAACTAATCTGATAATACTTCTTTGTGTTGTAATAAAACATTTATTGAAGGCAAACTTAGCATAACTTTGAGTTCCAAACCCACAGATAATGGATTTCAAAAGGAATATATTGTTTCCAATAAAAGCTTTTTCAGTACATGCTGTTCAATGATTTTTATAGATATAATGCATTTTCAGATACAAAGTATAGGCCCATCAAAATCTCACCAAGGCCTTGAGTTAAGTGGTAATAAATTTCATAACTTTGGTAAAGGCTTGTTCATTAAAAATCTACCAATTTTACAGCTTGATGTCAGAAGGAAAGGAGACATATATTTGAATACTACACTGAACTACAGCATTGTATTTCAACTCCTCACTCGAGGAGTAGGAACCACTAAATTTCAGCAGGTTTTTTCTTTACCTATAGAATCAATACATGTACATGTATATCTTGAGTAGCTATGATTGGTTCAGCCATTTTTGGGGGACGAAGCAGGAATTATTTTGATGTTTAACCAAAATAAGAAATGAAGAAGTTGGCACTGGAATACCAGGAAAAAATCAATGCAATGGTTGTTATCTCAGCCTTAACGGGACTGAGAAGAAACGTCAAGATATCTATAAGGATTCAGAATATCAAGTTAAAATAAATAAAGAAAGGTGGTCATGAATCAAGTCAATATACGTTAAACTCTGAAAATGTGGAATACAGACATCCAGGAAAAGCAACTTGTAATGGTGTATACATATCTTTTATAAAAATACACTCTTACAGTAAAATTGTTTTCCTTCACAGCTTTCATTTTTCATTCTTTACAATTATTCACCAATAAAAATACAGATTTTGAAGAGAAAGGAAAAAAAATCAGCATTAGTGTTTCCACTTTAAAGCTTCTCCAATTCTCTCAGATCTGTTTTGCAGCAAAATTAAACACTTTCAAAGCAGAATATGAATAACTCAAATACATATAAGACCATCCTTCGGGCGTTATAGAATTTGATCACTTGACCGACTTCCTGTTATACCCCAATGAAACTCTAAAAATGATATTTTATTTCTTATATCTATATTTGACGTTTTTAGTTGTGTTACAAATAAATATAGGCATTATTTAGACTTTGCTTTGGAAATGCAACATAACGTATCTACTACGTCATGTGACGTCACAATCGGAACTTTCCAAATGGCTCGTGCAGTTTGCTTTTCATACTCAAGAGAGTCTGATCATGTGACCAACTGCATGTCATTGAAATTTGAATTTCAATTTTATTAGCATTGTTATATAAGGAAAGACATCAGCAAATGTAAATATATAATTTTAAAACATCAAAAGTGTACAAATGTTCCAAATAAATGTTAATCACTGATGTATTCATGAAAAGATGTCCACAACACTTTGATCACATATTATAGAATACATGTACAAGTCTGTTTCTATCACGTTTTAGTGAATCAAACCAACACATTAATCTAAAAATTTCCTAAAGGAGATGAAATTATCAAGTGAGCCAAAGCAAAGGAATCTCGAGAGGTTAATATTTAAGAGGTATTAAGAAAACTTTTTTTAATTGCCCAATTCCTAACTTTTACATACATGTAATATATCTGACATTTAAAGATACATGTATACTTTTAAAGATTGGGGGAAGGGTACTAATTACCGTACATGTTTTAACTTGTCGGGTAGAATACAGTTACAAATAAGTTTCATTTGTTACAAGCTTATATAGGTAATGTACATGTATAAACAAAAATGATTAAATCAACTGTATTTTAATAATACATGATTTAATCATTTAAGAATCATCATTATTTTGCATCAAACAAAATTCAATTGATGGGGATAAACAAGGACTTGAAACGTAAAACAAACATACATCTATGTTTCTAAAACAAGCATGAGCAATATACACACATATTAAAATTTAAATGTAAATTTATCATCATGTAAAACCTGATATAGTAAAAACACTAAGTAATGAAACAAATGTGTGTACTATCTGGTGGGAATAAATATTATTGGGGTTGATTGCACCAATTATGTAAAACTGTGTTGACATTTTCTTGCTTCAAACTGTATCAATAGAACAGTTGATTACTAAACTAACTTCAGCATTGGTAGTAATCACTTGTGGTATTAACCACAATGAATTGAATGTGTAACAAGGAGGGAGAAATTGCAATGGACTAGACCGGGATTTGAACATGAATCTCCAGTCAGGTGCTCAATCAATTGAACCCATCTGACCGCCATCCTCCTGCCCTTATGGGCACCAAACCAGGCTCCTCTCTGGCAGGTCTTTAACCTGTCACTTCCAGGGCATGGCACCAAATGAAGAGTGGAGGAGAAAAATGGAACTGAGGTCAAGGCCACTAGTCAGGTGCTCTAGCACCCAGCCACCTAGCTACCCATGATCAAACCTGTTTGACCGCTACAGCTATCAATTTTATAATCTCATTCACTGTCCTAATAATTTCTCTGTAATCTAAGAATTCCACAACAAATTCAGCTCCCTCCTGACTTTTCTCTGACTTGCTGCCCTATTTTGTAATCATGTTGTCAAGTTATTGTCAATAACAGTGTCATAACAGTATAAGTAGATCTGTGGGAATCAGGAATTCTCTAAACCGTTCCAGTTGATGTCTTGGAAAAATGGATGTGATTTAATGTCCTCTGCACCATTCATACCATTACCAAGACGCTCTCGGGGATTAAAACACAAAAGCTAAAAAAAATCAATACATTCAGAACTTCAGAAAAATATCAAAGCGTTAGGAGTATGGAAAAAAATTATTTAGATGAAGTCTATGTCTGCAGCAAACTTACATTGATGTTGATCATTTTGTAAATCAGTCATTCCCATATAATTCATACAATTACCAAGTCCATAGTATTGAAAAACGAATTCAAGAGCAATGATATAATTATGTGTTTGATTGATAAAGTAAACATCCTTTGTTAATAAAATGAAATTTTACACATAAATCTTTCTTCGTTTTGTTTTAATGGCCATTCCAACTCACCACATCCAAGAACTCCGTAACGGAGGTTATAACTCAGTAAAAGCAGCTGTAAAGTTATTAAAATCTTTCTTCCTGTTTTAATTTTTATTGAACTTCGAAACTTTATCAATATACAGCTAAATTATAACAGAAGAAATTCTGAACTGCAAACATAAAAAAATATTGACTTAATATGTGTAAATCCAGATAACAGAATTTTTGGACAATAAAATAAACACTATTTTCCAGTAGGAATATTGCCAAGCAATCAGAATATTACATTACTTGACCACTTGATTTGAAAAATGAAAGGATATATCTTTAGAATTAAAGACCTTTTCCAATTATAAATTGACCACTTTTAAAAGAAAAGTTGATATACAAATTGCTCCAAAATTGTAACGGAGGTTACACAAACTCGTTTTGAAGATTAAGAGATAAAAATACTTTGTAAAACGTGTCAAACACACTTTAAAAATAATGTATTTACACAATTAAGATTAAAACTGAACAGTTTTCCCCTCTTTTTAAAAGCAATTTACCAAAAAGTGTGTTTCGTTACGGAGGTTTTTCTGAATATTTAAAAAAAGAGTAAAGCGAATCTTAGACTTCTTATCAGCTTTACAAACTTATGTCGCTCAGCATTACTAAGGGTCAATCAACTTAATCAAATATTCATTAATATATTACTGTCTTTTTTAACTGCAAATGTGAAAGTGAAGATTTAAACTTCTATAACCTCCGTTACAAAATTCGTTTCGAAGAATCGGTGTGAATGCGTTTACCTAATGGTGAATTTAAATAAGAACAATTAGAAAACATACTTTATTTGTAAAGAAAGGATAAAAAATATTTGTTTTAATGTTTTTAGGCAAATACATTTACTTAAAAAAAAAAACAACAAATAATTTTAACCTCCGTTACGAAATACCTTTCTGAACCCAGTAATATTGAAGTGATTTATTGAATCATTGTGAAGTAACTGTCACCATGGTCCCACATAAACATAATTTTTTTAAGAAAACTTATTTAATATATCAGAATATGTGAAAAATTCACTAAAAGACACAAAAATCCATTTTTTGCAGAAAAACCCAACCTCCGTAACATCGCTGGTTTTACGTATAAAAGAGTATAATTTCCCTGTACACCGCTGATAGTTCACATAAGGGTGACCTTTTTGTGCCCATACGCATTACGGAATATTAGACATTTACAAAACGAAAAAAACCCACAATAATTATTATTTGTAATGTGCAAAAACATCTAAGTTAATGCCATTTTTGCCACAATATTTTCAAAAACACCTTTATTTTATGCTTTAAACGCATTACGATTCTTATATTCCATTTTGTTGTCAACTTAAAGAGTAAACTTCCAGCATTATCTGGTAGATTTAAACACCTGAAATGTTCCACATGTAAGATTTTGTTGATTTTCTGTTACGTAGGTTAGAGGTTACGGAGGTTAGAACCATCAATAATATCTTTATTTCTGAATTGTTGTTTAACTTTCCTTACATTTGTTTTTTGTTTACTAGACATACCCATTGGTGTCAATCAACTGCCTTGAAATAGTACTTCACATAGCCTCTGTTTCTTCACAATAACTGTTACGTAGGTTAGGTTCTTATATGCGACATTATAAAAAATCCGTATTTTTAAAAATTTTGAACACAGATTTATTAATTTGCTTTAAAAAGGATTCTGTGCTAAAGTTTTAATATATATTAGACACAAAAACACAGTTTTAGCTCTACTAACGATATTGTATTATCTTAAAAAATATTCAAACACTGTTACAGTAGGTTAGGTGAAATTTGGCAACAGCAATGAACAAGGTCTGTTTAAAAAATTGTTATTCATATATCAATGAAAGTTTCATTTATATGATTTTGACACGTTTCTTCATTAATTAAAACCATTCTTGTTTGTTTAGAACAAAATGCGACCAGGTAATGCACATTCAACCAGCAAGGTATGCGATGGCGACAGCGCCTTTTACACGATTCAGGGCTTCCTTTTGTGTAAATACTCGGAGAAAAAATATCAAAAAATATAACAGCTAATGTTATTTTGTGTGGCAAAATATGTTAACATAAAGGGTCAAGGAATAATTTGAATATCAGTAACCATAGCTTTGAAATGTATTGGCGACATCGCGTTTTTTTCATTTGTATGAATTATACGGGAATGACTGAAATGTGAACTATCATAAAACTTATTGAAGTCCATCATGTAGGTAATACAAGCTATCAAAACAACAAGAGATGTTTATAAAACACTTATGCCCCCCTCCCCAAAACAATTGGAATTTTTCTAAGTCCAAGGGGCATTAATCTGTTCAAAATCGCTCGATTGTACCCAAAACATAACTTAACCTAGATATTTTTATGACAAAATTTCATTTCAAAATGTGAAACTGCTGCAACGAAAATGACGGAAACTGCAAATAATTGGAATTTTTCTAAGCCCAAAGGGAATAAATCTGTCCAAAATGGCTCGATTGTCCCCAAAAGAGAACTTGACCTAAATGTTCTTATGATAAATCTGTATACCAAATTTCATTTCAATATGTGCAACCTCTGCAAAGAAAATGAATGGAAACTGCAAATAACTGGAATTTTCCTAAGTCCAAGGGGCATAATTCTGTCAAAATTTGCTCAATCAACATATTCTTATGATAAGTCTGTGTACCAGTTTTCATTTCAATATCTGCAACCGCTGTGAAGAAAATGAACAGATACTGATGATGGACAAATAGATCGACAGACAGCAGCAAAGCAATATATCCTACCTTCTTCGAAGGGGGCATGCATAACAATTGATGTTTATCAAGCTAGATGTTGGGGTGAGATGTGAGTGAGATGTGATTCCACCTGATGAGATAACTTACTTGTTTTAAGAGTCCTTGAGCCTCCTGTGAGATATGTTCTGGGAGATAGATAGGAGAGTGAGATGTGATTCCACCTGGGTGACAGCTTATCAGGCTCTGAAGTGAATCAAAGAAAACCGATTATTAATTGATATTAGTAATTACAACCTTATAAACTTGCAAATGCAATGTCTTAGTGTGGAATCTGATTTTACTAGCTTAGCACCCCAGAAGAAGTAAATCCTATTTATTGTTCATATTTCAACAATTCAAATCTTAGCATTAGCATAAAACTTATTTTCTTAATTCTTAGACATTCACAATATTTTTTGTTTCATTTGTATAGGCAATAATAAGAAAACAGCATTGAAGTATTTAATATTTTTGATAAGTTCAATTCTGACTCAGTTATACAGTTTGGAGGTTATGTTCTTTTGTCACTTACTCTGCCGACCAGTAGTTCATACATTAGAGCTCCAACACTCCACCAATCACAGCTCTCGTTATATCCACCTACACCCATAACCTCTGTAATCAAATGTATAATTCTCTCATTATATCCCCATTCAACATAAACTCAATTATTAGAAAATAAGAAAAACATAATTCTGTTGGGATAAATGCATTTCCCAGTAAGTTTGGGACCTAATACAAATTCATCCAAGGTTTGATGTAGAAAACCATCTTCACCTCACCCAAATATACAGATTCAGATTTCCATTTCACAACTGATTCACAATGACTTTGTATTTGGTTCTAAACTAACTGTGTAACTTATGCTAATGGCAAAATGCTGAATTTCTGCATCAAATATATTGCCAAGAAAGACTTCAATAAAACCCTGTCAGCTTAACATAAACTCTTTACCTGGTGCCACAAAGAGTTCTTCAATAGCTACAGGATCCAGTCCTTGTTCCACCTGGCTAAGGTTACAAAAATAGGTCAGTAGGACATGACCTCTCTCTCCCAGCAGTATGTTGTCTGGTTTCAAATCCCTGTGTTAAAATGATATCATTATAAGACACATGTATGATTAGTATTTTTACTTTTTCTTTCAAAACCTTTCCATAAATTAAAATACAAACATAATAATCATACATGTATTTATTTTTTTCTTCCAATTAAAAATAATGTTAAAAAAATATGTGTCACTCTTATAACTCTATGTATCTGTAGACACTATTACGACTCTGACCTGCATATGATGCCCTGAGAGTGAAGCCAGGCTACAGCAATCACAATCTCCGCCGTCCATTGTTTGATGCAGGCCTCGGGGATCAGAACCTGCTCCGTTTTACTGGCGGCCTGGTCTAGTTCCGTGAACACATCTGACACCGTTCTCTGTCGCGACCGTGGAGGGGACGTCAGCTCGTGTTCCAGGGGGGCCGACCGACACAACTCCATGGAGTTCAGTCTCGTTAGAGATAACTTTGTTATTGGAATGTTCCTGTTCTTTTCTACATTTTCAGTCAGAGTTGATGACCTTGAGGACTTCCTGCTCTGACCTTCAGGGAGATCTGTGGAGAGATCATTCAGTGGAGAATTGACTAGAGTGTCCTTCCTATCACAGACAGAGTCCTCTGGTGGGCTAACACCACTAACTATATGGCACTTTTGCTGGTCCACACTGGACCCTGAAGAACTAGTTTCTTCCTTGTTTCGGTGGATGTCATAAATACTGAGTTCATTAGAGTCACTGCCTACCATTGTATCACTACTGTTCCCCGATAAAACAGTGTCGGATTTTCTAACTGTACCATTATTACCCTGCACCGTTCTATCGTCACCCCCAGACAACATTTGCTGGACTTCAGCATCAGACTGGGATAACGTCCGTTCTACAGATTTAATAAGATCCCTAGCACTCTGTACTATAGACTCCGCGTCCTCCGGGAGTCTCAACTCTCCCCCCTCCTCACTGAACACATTATCTGACTCGTTCCTCGGGAGGGAATGCGTGGGAGATAACTCACTCTCCTCCAAAATAGTGGTCACCTGATCCGACACAAAGCTGTTCAGTCGACTGTGATCCTCCATGCTGTCAAAGCTGTTAATGCTGAAGTTTTCTAGGTGGGTCGTGTTGTTCTTGAGGAGATCCTGGAAACTTGAGTCTCTGTTTTCGTAGGAATGGCTCCTGAGTTCTGACGTATCACACTCGGTATAATTCTCCTCTGATGATATGCTCTCAAATCTACTGTAGTCAGGCTTCTTTCCTGCATTTTTACATGTATCAACTGAATCAGTTTTATTGTTTGAGTATCTAACAGTGATATCCTTTGTCTCTTCTGTTAAAATATTTCTTGCTGCCATAAATTCCAAATCAGTGTTCTCCGTTTTTTGTAAGATTTTGGACACACTTGTTTGATTTCCATTGCCGGCTTGAGACTCATTAGAGTCAGGAATGGCATTATCGTCTGTATGTAACTTGACCCCTGAGTACACGTTTCCTTCGTACACCTGAGAATTGTCTACATCCCCAAACTGTTTGGATCCTTGCCACCCTGTGAGATAAGAGCCAATGTAGTTCCATAGTTTTCCTCCCGTGGCGTGCTGCAGAAGAAGAAATATACCATACTCCGTCTCATAGAACTTGTGTAGACTCACGCTGTACGGACTGCCAGAAGGCAGCACGGTCCTCAACTTCTTGGTGCAGGAGCTTGCCTTGTGAACAACCTGTAAACAATCAAAGTTACAGATTTAAATGAAATACAACATATAACAATCTCAAAAATAAAAAAATCATACATGAAGATTTGGGGGGAAAAAATCAAGAATTTTTTCTTTATGGTGTTCAAGATAAAATTCAGGAACAAAAACAATCACATCTACTTCCATAACTCTTGCTTTGTCAAACTTAGACCCAAAATGCTAAATAGGCAAGCAAAAACATTTTATCTGAAAATTTCAAATTTCTAATCAGTGCCACCTTAATATTCATTAAGTACGTGTACCTTGATTAACTAAGTTTTTTATCTCGATCAACATAATTATTATAGTTAAGTGTCTCACCTAGACAGCCTACGTTCCGATTCTTGATAAATTCTTAGTTTCTTACTTTAACGTTTTTCACCCTTATAGCCTTCATTTTTTTTGATAACCTTTAGTTTCTTACCTTGATGACATAAGTTTCATCATTCGTTTTATCCATCACCAGCAGCACTTTGTCAATGGTACCTAACACCTTGAAGTTCTTCATTTCAGCCAGGGATCCTTTCAACATTGCAACACCAGGATCAAGGTCCATAGACGGTGGAATTTTACTATTCTCCTGTATAAAGGAAACAAATCTCAATGATTTTCCATACAATTGTAACAAAAATTAATTTTGTAGCTAAGCATAAATAATATTTTCTATGAAATTGCTAATTTTTGAGGGGGTTTAATTTTCATTGTTTTCGAGGTATGCATCGTCGGAAACCTACGGGTGATCTCGTCTTTACTTATCACCCGTGGGCAAACAAGCTGAAATTCCACCGTAAAATATGCTAATTTGTTGTTTACAGTCAACCAGTCAGAGAATTGGAACTCTTCAATTTTTAAAAACATGATTATTGAATTGCTATTTTTGGTAAATATTTTGATGCTCGTTAAAACGTGGGTGGTTTGATTTAGAACAACTAAAGTCAATTCGTACAGGTCACTGACATTAATACCAGTCAGATATTATATATAAGAGTACCTCTTCCTAACTGCGGAATGTGCCGGTGAGTGGATTTATTAGCCGTGTTACAGTGTATATGGAATGAGTTTTTCATGTTTTTGGCATTTCCGAACATGCATATGTAACATGAACTGTAATTCGTTGTTTGGCATCGCGACTCTATGAAGCAGCCAATCAAATGACCCATATATAATTACATACAACAATTTTTTATGGCAAGTTTGCGCACGGGTGATAAGTAAAGATGAGATCACCCGTGGGTTTCCGATGATGGAGGTGTGAAGAGACCCTCAAATTCATGACCACCTAAAAATAGAAAATTTTAAATGCATTATTACTAAACACTTCTCCAACCTCGAAATCAAATCTCCACAAACCCAAATTTCTTTCTCAAACCTTGAAAATTTGACCCTACGAAAATATGTGATTTTACAGTATGCCATTCACTACAATAAATCACAACAGAAACTTGATACATGTATTGCCTCATGTATTGTGTGATGTATATATACTGACTGCTGCCCATCTCCTGTCATCCAGAATGTCTTTAGACAGGTGCCTGTTATACAGGTCTTCTGCCTTCAGTAAGTACTGGGCTGTCTTCCTCCTCACCGCATCGCGTCTGGCCTTGTTCTTGTCACCTGTAAAAGAGGAAAATACAAATTACACAATGTAAAGAGAAGGGATGCTTTAACTCTTTACAACTTACTGAACAGTGACTTAACATACTGTTTATGTTTACATCATAGAAATATGAATTTACCTTTTCCCTGCAAGCACTTAATAGCGCAGTACAACTTTCTCTAAAATTTAGCACAAATAATTTTGATGTAATATTTTTATAAGACAATAACATTTTCTTATTTTATAAGATTTTTGCAAGTATAAAATAGAAGGGAATTGGCATTAAATTGAATATTAAATTTACTTTTGAAAGTGCTTGAAAAATGAGTGATTGGGGAAACAGTATATGCGTGATTTTGCATTAGAAATAAGAAATGGTATATGCATTAAAATGCGTGACTGCGGGGGAGGGGGTTAAAACAGAGTCATATATCTGATGTAATTTTAAGATTACTTTTTTACATTTTTCAGCGTAGTTTATTTGTTGTCTAACATTACAGTAACAAAGGTTTTTACCTTGCACCCCTTTTAGAAGTGTATCCACACCACTCTTATAGTAGCTGAAGGCCAGGTCGTATTTAGCGTTAGCCTCGCACTCCTGAGCCAGACAAATCTGATTGGCTGCTAGATATATATAATCCTCTTTCCCGCCCAGATCCATGGTGGACACACTCTCTCCTGTCATGCTCCGTGTCTTGAATGGACTTCTAGGTAATTTTTGTAGAAGAGATTTTGATGGGCTCTGATTGGCTGAATTTACACCAGATAGTCCAGATAAATCAATATCTCCCTTCCCACACTCCACTTTTGATCCACTCTTTTTCCGCAGTGGATCAAACTCTGAAGTATCGGGAATTATTGGCTTTCTGGTAGGTTCGGTTCTCTCAGCTTCATCGTGACTGACAAGCTTGTCCTGGTTTACTCCCTTTTCAAAGGAGATCTGACAAACATGATCAATGTAAAATTCATTGTGTCTCAATCGTAAGAATTCATCAATAAAATTTTATCTAGTATGATGGTCACAAAGTCATTGGACAGTGGAAAAATTAACAAATAAATATAGCTGATAAATCTTTAAATTTTGCAACTGTTACACAGCTGAAGAGAAAGAAATGCATATTTTTTTTACCATCTTTTTAATGAAATAGGTATGCAGCAAAAATAATTTTTTGTAAGATTTTTATGTCCTTAAATGATGAACTCCTTACAAATATGTACATTATCTTTTACCTGTATTCCTGCATCAGAGTCTGCTCTCATATCTTGGTCCTCAATTTGTGACTCATTTTCCATTTCTATAATTAAAGGAATACATCAACAGTATTAAAAACATTCATGGGCATGAAGCTTTGCAAATTTGGATAACACAATTAAAGAATACTGGGTAGGTTCTATGAATTTCCATAACAATTCCAAAAAGAAATTCTAATATACACTAACGCATCTCTTATATATTTTCTCTCTAGACATTTTTAGTCCGTTTTCAATAATACAAAGAATTTTCCTCTTACATGATGGACCAGGGACACCTCTGTTTACCTGCACAGGTGTTCATGGCTGTAAACAGCCAGCTGTTACTGGTCCTCAGGGTGGAGGCTGGGGGCTGGAGCTGGTCGTCAGACATCAGGGGGTCAAAGAACGAGATGTCTGAGTCAGGGAGGGGCGTCCCCAGGGTGGAGTCCACCTCCCCCGTGTCTGTGTCATCCGTGTCGTCGAACGAGTTCAGGCTGATGTTGTCTGGCACCTGGGGGAAGTTCCACACACCGTCCAGCTCCTCCTCTCCATTCCTAAGAAATCCAAAATCAACACTTTACAAATCTTAGTTTAAACTCTTAAAATATATACATAGGTTTAACATGAACCGCACTATAAAAAGTCAATACTACATTTTAAAAATTTTAATTTGATTTATATACATAGGTAGGTATAAGATCAACCACACAATAAAAAGTGTGTTGTAGGACAATTTTATTAGACAATTTTTCGCTCTTCCGAAGTATCCTTACTGCTCTGATTTGTCAGTCATTCCTTCGCTGGAGGCAGGGCTGTCTACCTCATCCCTGGGTAGCTGATTGGTCGGTGTCATTGGTGATTTGTTATCTGACCTTTCACCTTTGTCCTCAGTCAGAATGTCAAGCTTGGAAGGTTTCAGTACCTCCCCAGAAGCTCCTGTTTTAATCTCACTGGCAGTCTTAAAATAGTATAGAAATATTCTGTGAACTCAATAAAATCAGTTTAAATCTCATCGGCAGCCTTAAAAAATAAAAATAGTATAGAAATATTCTGTGAACTAAATAAAATCAGATAATTTTTTACAAAAGGTCTATGCCTCATGTTTTGCATCATGTCATGATACACAAACAGATATAACTGTCTGGACACAATTATACTAATGTAATTTAGCTTTCAGTCAGCTGCTCAGAGATGCTTACCTTGATAAAAGCTTTAAAGTCATTGGAATTATACAGATAATGATGTTTTCCAATGAACTGCAGCAGTTTAATGGCACTCTGTCGCCTCTCCTCAATGACAGTCTCATCAAATCTCCCTAAATGGAATATATTAGTTTTATTACAACTGTAGGTTACACAAACCTTGTATATTTAGAGATCATCAAAATATCTTACCAAACAGCAGAGGCCTGGCAAACTTCGGAAATTCCTCCTTTCTATGCAAGGCTTTGTGTAGTGACAACATGGATTTGTACAACTGTTTGAAGTCATTGTATCTTTTCCAAGTCACCACCTACAATGTTAATCTTGTTTATTTACACCAATATCATGTGAATTAAGCATTAAGACATTAAACAAGTGCAGTTAGTTCTATATGCTAACATGGAAGAACAGAGAAATTAAAACTGAAATCCATACATTCCAAAAACAAATTTTTATGTGAAACTTTCCCAGAAATCTTTTGCACAGATAATTCCATGTGAATTATCGCTTGTCACTGCGATCTCTAAAGACAACTTTAGAAACTTCTACACACATTCATTCAAAAGAATTCTTTTCTGTAGTAATTTTGCACCCACAATGCATCACTTGTTAAAGCAACGTTATCGCAAGAACAACAACAAAAGTTTAACAAAAAAATTAACTCGCCTTGATTTAATGGAATTTTTGTAGTCTTGATCATCAAGACACTTTGACTTTTATCGTGAACAAGCATCTGGATGGTCAAGACCAGATATATTGCAGATAAAAAGTATATATAAAGTACTTTGTTAATATCAGCACTGTTCAGACTTCGGTTCAGTAATTGCAACATACATATGGCATCATGTGACGTCAGAGTCTAGATGCACCAAATGTCACATGGGGTTTGAAAAGCCCCATCTAAATTAAAACTGAATAAGTATCTGCACTCGCCATAACGGTCGCACTGTCAACATATTTGCATTAAGAGTCATGAGATCCAACATGTTCTGCAGGGTACAACACAGAAGCATTATTGAGATTGCTGGTAGCTCGATCTGCAGTGAAATCTTACCTCTGTTAAACTTTCTGGGGATCTGATGATGAAAACCTGTAAATTTGAGGGAACAATGTCAGTACATTCAGACTATAGAAGTGTTCATATATGTACCATACGTCAAAATAAACACTTTAACATATGACAGCAAAGTTTCAATACAAGGAGAATCGGTCTGTCAGACAGCTGTCACAGTCACCTGACAGCCATGCATCATGTTTACATCAGCTGCACGATGAATGTGGAATAAACAGTGAAAAAATACTGACCCTACATGTGACTTTGTATATCGTGAAGCCGTTGGGATGCAATGTTGGATCTGTTACGTCAAATGACCATATCTTTTCCTTGGAATTCGCATTAGTTGTCCTACCTGCCATCGTCCATCATTATCATCAATGTCGTAAACACATTCAGTTTGGTTTTTTAAAATAAGCATCAAAATGTTTCTTGTTTGTCTTGTCTTATACCATATCTGAATATTTGCTGGTATAAAATAAAAATATAAAATAAAAATCTTCGAATAAATTAAATCTAATGAAAATTCAGTTTTTCATGTAAGTCGTAAAAATTAAAGCTAACTTTTGGCACTTAGTCATTTTCTGTTTTTACAACACTGAAGAGTTGCATAGCTAAACCGGTGTAAGTAAGGTTGTCAAAAAGATGGGACTGTTAACGATTTTAAAGAAGATGAAGCAGAAAGAAAAGGAAGTTAGATTACTCATGCTGTATCCTTTCGTTACATAGGGAGATTTTTTTGTATGTTAAGTCATTAGTTTTATCTTTTTTAAGGTAGTCAGTGGTTGTAGTTTTATCTTTTCCTTCATTGTTCAACCAATTTAAATTTTTTATATTTGCTATTCTGAATTAGAAATCATTATTTTTCTGAAGTATATAAATTTTTGGTTTTATTTAAGAAAAATTATTTGATAAAGATTTTCCACCAAATATTTCTGCTTTATTTCTTAGGTTGTCAATATGGCGGCCAACGGGAGGTAACTTTCAAATTCAGATGTCCAAAGATGCAGACTACTTCTACCTACATAGCTATTTATTGATACTTAAACCTTCTCTAGGTACCTATTTTCCCAACTCTTTGCTTTATTTACATTTTTGGTGAATTGCAGGAATGTCGCAAATTTCTTGATAGAGTCTCACCAATGATGTGGACGACAGGAGTTTGGGTTAAAAAATTCTTTTAACCTAACTATCAATTATGCAACATGCATTAATTACAATATATACAGATCCATTCTCTAGAAACTAATGATTAAAAATGTTTCAATACTTAAAATGTCTTTCAAATATGTGATAGTGAGCGGTGCAAAGCAACATTCTTCACTGCGAGCTCTTAAACCAACACCTGGGCGAAGAGAAAATTGGACTTCGCAAATTGATCCAAACAATTTTTTTCTGCTTTGCTTAGGCTTCTTTTTGATAATGCAACTTACATGTAAGGTCAAGTGACAGCAGGGTTTAGACGCACCAAATGTCACGTGCGGTTTGATGAGCCCTGTCTACATTAAAACTGTTACAATATATACAGAAGTATCTGGCTCACCCTAATGGTCCCAATGTTGATTTTATAAAATATCCGTGCATGATTTTACTTATATTATTTTATATCAATATTATTGTATGTATGGATCCTCAATTTTTTAAGAGGTTTAGATAATGCTGGGAAGACCACAATTTTAAAGAAATTCAATGGAGAAGATATTGATACTATATCTCCAACCCTAGGTTTTAACATTAAAACCTTAGAACATAGAGGGTGAGTAGAGTATTTAGTACTTTACTGGCTTTAAACCCTGTATTCAATTATAAAATGAATCTAACTTCTAATTTAATATTTATTTTTGATTGTAGGTTTAAGTTAAATATTTGGGATGTTGGTGGACAGAAATCATTGCGATCGTACTGGAGGAATTATTTTGAGAGTACGGATGGCCTGATCTGGGTCGTGGACTGTGCAGACAGAATGAGACTTCAGGACTGTAAACAAGAACTCCAATCTCTCTTAGTAGAAGAGGTAGGTCCAAAACAATGTAAACTGTATACAATCTTAATGGCACAGGAGTCTGGAGAGTGGGGGCACCTGTTTGTATATTTTACACAATCTTTATTGTAGAGATTAGCCGGGGCAACTTTACTGGTGTTTGCAAACAAACAAGATCTACCTGGAGCTTTGCCAGCTGAAAAAATACGAGAGGTACCATTGTTTTATTTAAATGATAAAAAGATTTTTTGATCGTTATTATGAGAATTAATGTTTGATTGTGGCAGAAAAAATACATACCATGATGAGGAGGGTTATGTATGCAGCATTCATTCCTAAACTAACAAAGAAAGACATTTTGTTTGATGTCTGTTTAAAACTAAAAATTATCATATAAATTAGGTTTAAATATGTAATTGTACATTGATATCTACATCATTGTATGTTTCAATAGTGAAAGAGCCTCTGCTCAATAGATCTTCACAGATGGCTTTTGAGCAGTGTTAAGAATACTTCAAGTGATTTAACATTCCTCTCTTTTCAGTTGTTGGATCTGGACAGCATTAAGACACACCATTGGAGGATTCTAGACTGTAGTGCTGTAACAGGTGAAAACCTCCTGAAGGGAATAGACTGGATAATTGATGATATCGCTTCACGGATATTTACCATGGACTAGCTCAAATTGCTTCCTCTACATATACAGGCATTGTTTCATATATTGCTATACCTCTATGTGATATTAACTTGCTTACTGACTATTGTCAAAGCATTATGATATCTTTACAAAACAGTTTTCCTCTAGCTTTGTTAAGTGCAAATCCACAGACAGTGGCCCGTTCACAATGGATAACATATGCTTTCAAGCAGCATTGAGCTTTAAGTCAACCTCAGTATTTAGGAAGTATACTCATAAGTTACAGGTCACCATTTTACTTATGTTGCTATGCTAGATTGGTTTTTTTTTTTTCCAAGTCAGAAATCTGCCCTTGAATCAGAAATTCTGCTTTTATTGGTAATAAGTCAATAAATAAAAAGTAAGGAATGTTGTTTGTTTTTTTATTACCATAATATTCTTGACAAAAAAAGTATTTTTAATGTCAAGTAATTTAAACTGTACATATCAAGTAATGGGAGAATAGAGAATAGAAAAATGCAGATAGGCCGGGACTTAAACCTGGTCCCCCTGAATCTCCAGTCAGGTGCTCTACTAACTGAGCTATCTGGCCACCAGTGATCAGACCCGACTGACCGCCACAATTATAACACTAACTTAATTGAAAGAGACATATCACGTAGAGCTGACAGGTGTGGACCATTAGATCAAACAAGACAGGAAGTGCTGAGTTTGATCTAATAATCTGCACCCATCAAGATGTGATCTGCAGTGGCAGATCCAGGAATCTTGACAAAATAGGGGGACCAGTTTTGGGTCAGGGTGGGGCCATAGCCACTCCAAAAAAATGATTTCTTAAATCTTACGTATATTTTGGAGACAAAAGTGGGGCAGGCCCTTTGGGCCCCCATGTAAATCCGCCAGTGATATTTTTGTTAGAATTTTTATATACCCATCTACAATTAGCAATTATAATAAAACAACTTATTTGACCAATATTTTTGACATGCAAGGAAAAAACTTCAGGTATACTGTAAATGTACTACATCATCAGATTCAGAGCATGGTGATATGGATTCTGAAAACCAGTGTGGTGATCCGAAAAGTCATAAAATCATAAAATCAACAGTAAAACTGAGCAAAACATATTTAGGTAGATATATAAGAAAGATATATATATATCTCACAGCAACAATTGATATTACAAATAAGGCAATTCTTAAGTTTGGTTTTGAAACGACAAATAATTACTTAATTACTTAACTCATCTGGAAAACGTAGGTCAAAAACCAAAATCTGAAGCAAGTCTGAAAGTGTTCATCCCTATAGCTAGATGCATCATCAATGCAAGGGCTCATAGTTACTTTGGTATGGGCTTGCTCCTAAAATTTGATCTAGGATGCAGACACAATCTGCCTTACTCATGACATAACTTTCACAGCCAACTATAGAACAATGAGTATTTTCTATATAGAATTTTTGTGCTATTACATGTATAATGTATCACATGTTTCCATAACTCTCAGGATCATCATTTCTTTAGTCAGTACTTTTGACTGCTGTGTATACATGTACAGTATAATTCTTTTTTATTCCAAGCATCTCTTTCTTGGGCAGGTATAACATGCAAATGAATGAAATAAACAACCATAAATCTTCATCTGTATAAATAAGTTTTTATTGAGGCTAGTTAGGGAGGGGAGAACTTGATGGAATGTAGTGTGTTGTCTAGGCAACCAAAAACTACTTCCTGTACGCCGTCACCGTCAATGTCGGCCGTGTCTACACCACTGATCCAATCAGACGCGGCAAACTTGTCCAGGAGCTATAGCAACAGAAAGGGGTCAAGTACAAGTACAATGGTTTAATGTCCATTGCTAATGGTAACAAGAGGCCCATGGGCCACATCGCTCACCTGAGCACTAAGGGTAGGAAAAAGTAGAAAATGGCTTTTTATTGTAAAGTTTAAATCCAAAAGTAGTCCAATGACCAATGATTTTAAAAGAATTTTCATATCTATATCTTTAAAAACTTTGGTTGGCCATTTTGGCCCCGCCCTACCTGGGTCATGATTTGAACAAATTTGAATATACACTACTTGAGCATGCTTCCATATAAATATGATGAATTATGGCTTTGTCATTCTTGAGAAGAAGATTTTTAAAGAATTTTCCTATATATTTCTATGTAAAACTTTGGTCGGCCATTTTGGCCCCGCCCTACCCCTGGGGGTCATGATTTGAACAAACTTGAATCTACACTACCTGAGCATGCTTCCATATAAATATGATGAATTATGGCTTTGTCATTCTTGAGAAGAAGATTTTTAAAGAATTTTCCTATATATTTCTATGTAAAACTTTGTATTTGGCCCCGCCCTACCCCTGGGGGTCATGATTTGAACAAACTTGAATCTACACTACCTGAGGATGATTCCCCATAAGTTTCATTTTTCCTGGCACAGTGGTTCTTGAGAAGAAGATTTTTAAAACATGCCACCAAATTTTCATTAATTGCCAATTATCTCCCCTTGAATGAGGGCGTGGCCCTTCATTTGAACAAACTTGAATCCCCTTCACCCATGGATGCTTTGTGGCAAGTTTGGTTGAAATTGGCCCAGCGGTTCTTGAGAAGAAGTCGAAAATGTGAAAAGTTTACAGACAGACAGACAGACAGACGGACAGACAGACGGACAGACGGATGCCGGACAAAATGTGATCAGAAAAGCTCACTTGAGCCTTCGGCTCAGGTGAGCTAAAAACAGAAAGAGTGGTACAAAAAATCAAAAATTGATAACCTTTTTTCACATGTATTTAAAAAAAGTTTTTGCTAAGATGCTGATATACATTTATGTTTGAAGTTAATAATGTTTTTAGGCCAAAAAAAGTTAATCAATAGTTTCTCAGGCACCGCCGCATCAGTTCAAAAACGGCCGCATTGATAAATTTTATTGACATATTGAAAAGGGAAATAACTCAATTTTGTATTTTTCCAACTTGAAAAAGAAAATCGAGTTATTCCCCTTTTCATAAATGCTAAGAAAGACGTTTTTACAAGAAAAACAATATATTTCTTCTAAATCTAAAGTATTTTATCAGTTAACTTTTAAATAAATGTTTGTAATAACATTATTTAATGTTGAATACACATTATAACTAATTTCAGAGAACAAAACTTAAGAATTAGTAGATATTATCATTTTACTGCACAAATAACTTACAAAAAAGGTGTAAAACCAGTTTCCAAAAAAAAAAAAAAAAAAAAAAAAAGCCTGCCTGTCGCATTGAATTTTGAATTTTTTGGCCTGAGAAACTATTAATTAATTTTTTTGGGCCTTACCAATTCGAAAATGTATGAAACATCAGCAACTCATACTAAGTATCCTTTATATACTGAGCCCCACCCCTTTTCAATTAATTACCTTGCCATCAGAGTAGATCAGCAGCTCGTTGAAGTAGCCAGCACACAAGAGAAGATCCTGTTCCAAATCAGGGAAAGGGAGCTTACTCAAGCTGGTGATAGGATACTGAGCATTGGCGAATTCTGTTATCTACAAATTAAAAATAACAATAACCATAGGTTTGTAGGTAGGAGAGTACTACTTTCTTCATCCCTTGTTTCCTTGTTCTTTTTTCTAGCAGTCCATTTCAAATTGTAGCCACTGTGATATCATTAATATCCCTTGAGTTGTTGAATTTTCCTGTTTTTTCACACTCAGATAAAGCCCATAATACGCGAGTTTCGAGATTGTAACTCTCCTGCGATAGAGGCGTAAAAAGTATCCATTTCAGCATGGAGGAGGGACAGTTTGTTTATGTATACAAATGTGCATAAATAAATGAACGATGTTTATGGCTTTTAAAATTTATTTAATGTTATAGAAAGATAAAAGTGTTAAGCAGTAATGCATTTTATGATTTTATCAAGCTCAACTGTGTATATTTACATATCTACTTTCAATTATAGGGTACTTGTAAACGAAATAAACGTCGTGGTCTTTATAAAAAGTAAAAGATTTTCTTGATTGTACAAACATTCTCTAAAAAGTTAGTGGGATTTTTTGAAGTTATAATAAGGGAAAAAAATCAATGTGTCATTTAGATTGCCGACATGTAATGATCAGTTTCACGTTTACCGTATTTATTAGAGGTCCATATATCTCTTCCCTCGGTCTGAAAAGTCTCACATCCACTGAAATTTCTTTTTGTTTCGATTTTTTTTTACTTTAAAAAATGACACATTTACTTTAATTCGGTTATTCTGGAGTTGAACAGTGCATCCTTACAATTATATAGTTACGATAAACCAGTATATCGATGATGTGATATATCCAATAATAAATATCTGTCCCACCTGATTGTTTACACAGCAACCAAACTCCCCTCCTCAACGAAAGAGCGCACCAAGGGAGATAATCTCGAAACTTGCGTATTAATATCCTCTAAGACATTTTTAAATGAAAAAGTACAGTTTTAGTAAAAAAAAAATCTTGGCAATAAACTTTGATGTTTTTTTTTTCCCTTTGTTTTTAAGTGCTTTGTTGGTATGTATATAGCCCTATGCATTATGGAGTCCTGACGGCATGCAGATGAGTGGTCAAGATATTCGTTTCATTCCTGTGGGACAGTAAGCAAGAAAATTGTTGATCTTCCCATTGTTTTGTTTCCTTTTTTTTCTCCATTGCCTCTCAATTATGCTTCCCAACCCTCAGCTACCCTCTGTTAATTACCATAATTTTATAAAGGCATTTTATAAAGGCATTTTATTTATACATGAACTAATGATGACAAAATCTTAAATTAAACCTTGATCAACTTAGTCTTGAATTACTACAAGAACTCACAGAAAAGTTGTGGAAAATAAAGAGAGCCCCTGTGTCTGACCCCAGAGCAACTTGTTCCCCTGACCTTGACCCTGAGGTGGTTGACAAGGTCACTGGTAGCTTCTCTGTATTTACAAAATTTCCACTGCACATCTGTAAAATAAATACTGAAATGATGGCAACTTAGCTGCAGTGCACACAGATAGCTTTGAATATTATACAATTCTGTAAAACTCCTTAGAAACTCTTAAAGACTTACAGCTGTGATGATGCTAGGAGTTTTGATCACCATGACGACAGCCCCTTGGTGGATGACATACAGTTGACAGTCATTGTCGGATACGAGGACGTAACTAGACCTCTGACTATGTTCATTAGTCAGGTTCACTGTCAACTGACATTTTACTGACAACGTCGAACTACACACCTTAAGGAATAAAATTTAAAAAATAGATACTGGTACATTGTACTAGAAAATAAGCATTTCTGTCATTTATTTCTTTTAAAGACATAAATCTAGAACAGGAAAGTCTCATATCCTGAAAGGTGAATCCCAATATACAAGTAGATCTAAACTGGTACATGTGCCCCAAATCCACCCCTCCTCAACCAATGTATGGTAAAAAAAAATTAGTAATGGAACAATATTTCCAAAGATGAGTATCAGGAAATTAAGAGGCAGTCCACTGAAAATCAGGCAATTGGTGGCACATCGCATGTCATGGATTTTTATTATTTTTTGCATATAGACTTATTAAAGCAAGTGTTTACACATGACAACATCAAAAAAAATTTTTAGTGCTCCTCTAGTCCTATTTTCGGTAAGTGCTCAATTTTGAGTGCAAAAAGGTCAACATGGGGGTAAAAAAAATTACTACGTTTTTATTTTGTTTTATATGTACCAGATACGCAAAACCTGGACGTGTCCATCAATATTATTTATAGCGAGCGCAGCGAGCGTCGCGAAGCGACGCTCGCGAAGCGAGCTCAATAGACTAACGTGTATGAACAGAGGAAATTCGGATTGAAATCTGTACATACGTCAGCCAAATTTCTCTGTGCAACATTCCCAGAATTCCTGCGCTACCCAATGTCCTTTGCGCGAATATTGCCGAATAAATAAATAAATAATAACGTAAAGCATATATCAGACTTTCAGTTTGTAGAAATCTTTCAAAGAAACAAGAAATAACTCTGCAATGTTTTTCGACAAAAATTGCACTTGTTCTATAGTTTCAAACAGACACTCGGCTGTCTCTGTAAGCTCCGACGAGCTTTGTGACGTCGTATGACGTCACAGCTAGTCGAGATATCTCGTGCGGCTTGACGTTCGAAGTGGCTGATCTCAAGTGTTTTTCATGGTACAACTGCGCTCGCCCCAACGGTCACACCGTAAAACATATTACCATAGACTCTTATCTTTAATTTTAGTAATGAATAAGGCCATAATAAATATATTGCTAGATTCTCATCCAAATTTTTTCAAAAATCGAGGCGGGCATTTATATTTTTTCAATTTTTTTCTTTTGCGGATTTTTTATTGACCTGATCAATCGGTGTAATTTTACCTACAAAACCCGAATAAAAGTCATAGTAAAGGTTCAATTATCTCTTACTTCACATCATTACCAATCTTTTTCAACCAATGACCCTTGTTTAAAATACATACGCATGTATTTATATACATCAATAACCATCTTTTCAGCTGTCAAAATCTTGTCGACTTTCGCGTGATTTAAAACGAAAGTAGAATGGTAGATTAATACCTATCCCGATCAGAATTAAACGAAGAAAAACAGAAATAAAAAAAAATCGAGGCGGGAGTAAAAAATTTTTAAATATTTTTATTAGGGCCTAAGACTCCAATTTATATTTCTTTAGAAAAAAATTTGTGGTCCAAAATTGAGTTTAGCAAGTAACTTTTTGAATTCATTAGCCAATTTTCATTACGTTATAAAACCCAATACATTTCAATGACAGATTTTTTTTCTCATGTTATTATGAATACAAAGTACAAACTTTTGAGTCACTCAATAAAATCACTGGGCACCCGTATATTGAGAGAAATAAAAGGAGTCAAATTTACCTATGTTTTACAATTTTTCACAATTAAACCGATCCCGACCGGAATTATGTAAAGAAGGAAATACTATAATTGTAATGTTAGATTTGGCTCTTTTGTTGTAATATGGCCAAAAAATTACTTGATTTATTTTTTTACATGTCTTATTGGTGGCAGTTGTCTTTAGTTTTATAACTTTACACATTTTGAATTATTTTCAATCGGGATCGGTTTTATTTCAATTGGGATCGTTTTTTTTTCTCCGTAAAACTAGAAATATTCTGCATTTAATGTATCAGAAAAAAATATGCTTGTCTTTTATTTCTGTTCAGTTAGTCAACTGTTTTAAAATTATTCTATCCATGGATTCAAATGTTTATACAATGTATTTAAAATACTATTGTCTTTTACGTACATGAAGATTACAATCATGTATAACATCTGTTCGATATCTTGATACTCGGTATTAAAAAAAACAAGTATTTGTACATGCATTATGCAACAACTGAAAAATCTAAAATATTCATCTTTCCTTGATAATCAGAAGAAAATAAAATCTCTTCACATCCCAATTTTATAAGAAATATTCAATATAAACAATTAAATACTCGTATTTGTACGCATAGCCTAGTAAATCAGTTTAAAAAAATTAGTTCTCGGACATGTACAAAATTACTTTTCAAAAGGGACTTCTAGCTGAGACGTCGCCCGTTAAAAAAAAATACATTTTATATAAAAATATATGATTATTTAACATGTAGGATAATGCACTCTGAAAAGTAATTGAACAGAAAAAGAGAAATTATTTATTTTTAATCGTTTTATTTGCACTTTTATGCAAAGAATTTACAATCATCTTTGGAAAACTTGTCACTATTTAATTGTGACGCAATATTAGTCAGGTATATGATGTCACTGATACATCAATGGAAACGTGGATTCAACCTGAATAATACTGCCAATCTTAATCTAAATATTACGTTTGGAGGCGAAAATGAATTCTATTTTGAAAATAAAGTAGTAATTTTTTGTTAAATAATTTTATTTTGTGTATATATTCTAAATATTTCACTAGGATTTCCATAGTAAGGTGTTTAGCAGGTTTATCGATGCCACGGGCGATAACTCTTACATCGCAAAATTTCATAAAAACGTCTATATATTTTGACAGAAAACTACTATCAAAAGTGTTTTGCCCACCAATTTTATTTTTGAAACTGAAAAACGAAATATTTCTAAATTTAGTTCAGCATGAATTATAGTCCTGTTAAATAAGTATTGGAAACTACAGTTCGTTGTTTCTGACCTAAATTCAATGGTTTATATAGGGGAATTCAAGAACACGAAACAAAAGGATATTTTACTAAATAAGCAATTTTAAAACAAATCTTCGATTACATTATTCCATTTGGACTACATTGATATTGTTTTCAATAAAATTTCAAATATTCGTCACATTCGATGTGCCGCCTATTAATACAACCCTGCCTGGTTTTTCGGCGGACTACCTCTTAAGTTTACCTGATTTAACTTAAGGTCGTTCAGATTGATGCGCCACAACACATTGGATGGAAGAACTCCACATACCACACCGCTGTCACTGCTAAGTACAATGGCCATATTGCCAGCTGTAAAATAGAAAAGGTCTGTCAACTGTGTGTTTTCTAGATCAATCAAAAACTGAAATTAAGATTTAGCATCTTGTAGCTTTCTTTATCCCTAGAATATCAACAGAGAAGTACAAAACTTTTTTTAACTTTCAAAAGTGGAACCACTCTAATCTATTGTCATTGCAAGGAATAGGAAAGGTTGATTAAAAACAACAGACAGAATGCATTTAGCTCTTTTTACCTTTTTATCACTGAGGACTTACTTTTATCTTTTTGAATCTGGAGACAGTTGAGGCAGCTGTCTGTAATGCTCTGTCGACATAAAATCTGACGATTACAAAACACAGTCATCATCCCACATGAGTCGACAGCCACTAAATCATTGTGGTAAAACTTAGTGATGTCCTCAATCTTCATCGCCTGAACTGGACCACTCTTTGTCTCCAAGGAGAGCTGCATGAAGATGTTAAAAGTAAACATAGTAAAACATATTAAAGACATGCTTTATTTCCTGGAGAATTAATTTACCCTTTACTTCGATCAGTGTATTTGAAGCAAATTAACAGTTGATTAAACCACTGCAAAAATATTTTTATTTTATTTTATTTATCTATTTATTTGTTGAAAGTCTACAAAAAAATATATATAATTACAAAAATAGTATTAAAACAATAGGCATGATAAGTTGACAGCTGATACCTGTGTAGATTTGTATCCGCCATCCTTTGTCAGATCGTACACTCTTATTACACCATCCTCTCCACCCACGGCCAAATTTAATCCAGCTTCTCTAAAAAATAATAAATTTAGGTAAAGAATGCCTTATGACAATAACCAATAAAACCCTAACTTTAGAGAAAAAAAATACTGAGAAAATTCGGATGGTCAGATGGTTGAATAGTGCAAATGGATCTTAAGGAGCTTACCGATTGCTTACCTAAACAGTGTGCCTAGACACAAGCAATTAAATCTGTAATCTGTTTTTGTTGACCATAATTCTGTAATCGAAAAGGGGACGTTTTCCTTCAGCTTCATCTTGGCGATTTCCGAGCCCGACTTCAGCCAAACTGCGGATTTCGGGGAGATAACTCTTTCTGCCCATGTTCATCAAAAGAAAAATACTCATCTTAAGATTGATCCATTCAACTGTTTTAAAGTTTAGCCACCGTGTAAAGTCATTTGATAATTGAATTCCCAGTGTTTTATGGGTTATTTTGAATTTTGAAGAGAACATTTTTTCTGTTATTTTATTTCTGAATCGGATGACGGTACAGACCATAGATCTAATGACCTATAGCTATTGATCTAGAGTGCAAAGTAATTTTAACTTCTTATTTGATCCATAAATTTTTGTGTACCTCAATTTTTATTCTTTATTCATTAGAAGTCATTAATTCAAGATTCAAGATTTCTCATATATAACAAATACTTATTAATAGGTTTAAACATTCAACATCTCCATCTTTACATCTAATGCAGCCCGGCCTGGTATGAGTGAATGACCTCGAAATACATTCCATCCAGTCATTTACAACCAACTATAAAGGAAATATGCCTTTAAGTTTTTACAACCATTCTTTCAACAGGACTCCTTTATTCTTCCTAGCCGGAGTAATGATCTGTGATATGAATTAAATTCTTTCCCAGCATCCAATGGTCACAGCTGATTTGCAAATTAGCTCCTACTCATTTTAAAAAAGACCGATTTCATCAAGATTTTAGCTTTCCCTCAGCATATTTTGCATGTAAAAAAAGTCCAACACTGGAGCTCAGCACTCTACTAGCAGCTGATAAATTAAAGAAGATCAGAGCCATACATGTAACAATCAGTTTGTATTGTTGAAAGGACAGAGTTTTACAAAAAACCAATGGATCCCTCGTTTATGTATATATCATTAAAATAATTATCAGGAAATTAATTAGCTAAAATTAATTGATATTAATTTTTCTTCAGTAGATGCATGTAATTGTTTAGCGTGGTATAAGTTTGTGGGAGTAATTAGTGTACACTTTGGTAAGACTATCAATTAATCTGAAATATACATTGCACTAAAGAATCTTTTTGAATTTTCAATAACAAATTTTCATTATTGTGGACGTATACTCTTTATCTATTTTGTAAAATTTAACAAAATTTAATAACTGCATTACTCTACGTGAAATTTCATTCCAAAATAATAACATAAGACATATACTGCTTGACAGGAGAGTGAAAATATTTTTATAATGCAAAATGTATTTATATTTATCGAATATTGGAATATATTCGAATACTCCTATCGAATATTCGAATATCAATTATTGACAATTTTGACATCCCTACATAAAACAAAGAAACTACTACCAGACAAATTATATATCTTTATTATTGATCCATTACCGATCAAGAATTTTGTTATGATACAGATTGTTAATTATGTACATGTATTAAGGCAAGCTAGTATAAAATCTGTATTTCCCTTTTATCAGTATTTCCAATATTAAAAAAAATGCATTTAAAATCCTTAAAAAATAGCAAAACATAAATAGAAGTTTGTGACACATTAAAATAATTAAACAGCAACAAGAACTTTTAAGACATCCTATAAGAACAATAATTTTGAGAACAAATAGTCAAATACATGTGAAGGACAAAACCTACACTTCTACCAATGCAAAATGTCCAAACTTTACTAGACAAAACCAGTCTCTAGGAAGTACATGAAGTAAATGATGGGAGTCAATTGGGTACTAGTATTACATGTAAATAGTACCAGGGTACTAGTATTACATGTAAATAGTACCAGGGTACTAGTATTACATGTTCATAGTACCAGGGTACTAGTATTACATGTTAATAGTACCAGGGTACTAGTATTACAAGTCAATAGTACCAGAATGAATTCAAAATATCAATTGTGTAGTTCAGCTGAGCACTGGAACAAAAAGATATTACAACTCTACAGTTACACATATTAAAATAATTCAACAAAGAAAAACAAAGATACACAAGAATGAAAATAAAATAAACTGAAAACATGTATAAGTAACAGAATGAATGTGGTATCTGATAACCTTCCTCTTTTAGGGGCTGACTTGTAACATTTTTGGAAAATGGAATAATTTATTTAGCATGCTCATTTATACTGTTTTGTGGAATAGAAGTACAAGAAAAACTTGCAAAATAAATGCTTTTGATAAACTATGAATGGAAAAAAATGTAATTTTGTTACACTACTTACAAATAACTACATGATTCAAAATTATATGTACAGAATATGACTTTTAAAATACAGGGTATAAAATATTTTCATGCATTTACAGTATGTAGTATATAATTTGAATAATATTGGTGTTTTCTTTACAGTTTGTTTGCTATGTTTGTTTGCTATAAGCATGTGCAGGTATTAGTATACAACTTGATCATAATATCACGTAAACTGTATATTTGAAAGGTAATCTATGTACAGAACTGTGGAATGGATTTTAATGAAATCATCATGGATTTTCAGGAGGGAATACTAAGCTTTGAGTAGCCACACGATAAAATCTGATATAAAAATAAATGTTGTATAGCACTTCATGATATGTCAAAATCCAAACAACCTTACTGCCCTCAACAGTTATTAGTAAAAATAATGCTACTTTTTAAAATAATTGATTAGGCTAATAGGTTACATCAATATCGATTTATATTTCAAATAAACATGTATATGATGTATATTCATGCACAACCATTCATAAATCAGATGTATTATGGTATATGTGGTAAAATTAAATTTCTACATGTTTATAAGGTCCTAGTTTATTTAGTAAGTAACACAATGCATATGTTATTAATACAATGGAATGTTGGTGACTTACATTGGACAGTGGATATGTAAATTAAAATAAATACCTATTTTGTTACAACCCACTTTTTGTAAAATATTTCTATACATGTACATATTATTGACAAAAAAATGTCTTTTTATTGCAGACAAACACCTTTCATTGCAAAATTATTGAAGTTTCTGTAATTATTATTAAACACACAATAGTAAAATATATGAATAGTACTTGAAGCAGTGGTTACAGTTATATAAATATGAAGGAAACAAAGATTTATATCAAGTTTGGGGATACACCATCCCCCGAAAGTAGACCTGCTGTAAATTGTAACTTTTGTCAAAAACAAAGAACTTTAATTTCATGTCTTTGATATTCAAGACGTGGCATTTACATTCAGAATGGGCCTCTAGCTGATCAGTTATAAGCAACACAACCGTAAAAGCTCCGTAATGTGTCATTCTCAATGGAGCAATAAAACATGGACTTAAAATTCATCAAAGGCACCATTTAAAAATGAATACATCTGGATGGTTCATTTCTGTCAATTGATTTTTGTATAAAATTGCATCCGTAAAATCGACGAGATTCGCTAATATCATAAAACAATGGTTCTCCTTCTTTTGACTTTTAAGTCTGTAAATGCTAATTAGTTGTTCCTGTGGCTCTCAGCAAGGACTGTGTCTGAAGGTCTTCATCAGGGGAATAAGACAGGAGGGCTTATCTGCCCCCCTCAGGAACGGGTGCTGCAGTAATTCAAACGCAGTGGCTCTCTGATCTGGGTCACGGACCAACATACGCTCCAGGAAGCCTTGTAACCTTGGCGACACCTAAAACATTCACAAAATAATGGTCTTATTATGTGTAAAACAAAATTATTGACTCCCATTAAGTTTACGTTTTATTTATATTTAAATTCCAGTGTAATATTCTCTTATTATTTAGGCCTTCACATTTGATCTTACAACCGGATGTAAAGAGAACAGACTTTCAGACAAATATCTTTACAAGCAGCAGTTTTGTACAATATTTTACGTCAGTTTTTGTTGTGTTTATGATACTGACTCTGTGTGCGTTCTTGAGCTTTGGTGGTGGCATGTCTCGGATCCTTCTCATCGCCTGCAGGGGAGGTTCGTTGAAGAATGGCGGTTCCCCATCAATCATCTCTATCACCATAATACCCAAGGACCAAATATCAACCTGAAGGTATTATTATCATGAATGTTATATAAAAATATAATAATTTTATGATAATTTTGATAAATCATTATTCACAGACTCTTTCTCGGTAAGACTGATGCAAAGCATTGTACTATAATCTACAATCTGCAGGGAATCAGTACATTGAGTTTCCAGTGATGATAATTAAAAGTCCACTACAAATTTCTGAATGTGAGATTAGATCCTGACCTCTGGTCCGTATGGTAGCCTTGAGATGACCTCTGGTGCCATCCAATACGGAGTCCCCACAAGGGATTTTCTTTTAGGCAGTTCTTGAGTAACTTGTGCACAGAATCCAAAGTCAGATAGCTTTACCTATGAAAGAAGTTGGTAAAAATTTAACAACAAAACTATTTTCAAATTATTTCTAGTAAATCACTGCATTGCATTTAATCACAAGGCACAACTGTCAAAAATCCTTGCTAAGTATTATTGGGTTATATTTATATGTATGTTTTGTAATTATTCATGAGGACTTTATTTTCTCATCAATACAATCTCACAAGCAAAATGATTAACATCATACACACAGTATTTTCCCTTTATTTCAAAGTTAAGGGTTAGAGATCAGTTGTTACAGGCTAGGGGCTGAGGTTTATGTACAAATTTTCAATAAACCTTACAACAATTTAATTTTGAATTTTTATTTCAAAGCGGACTTTTTATCAATTGAAGCAGTCAATTTCGCCGGTAGCCAGTTCTTAGGGAAAACACTATATTCAATAAGATTTAAATAAGAATAAGATAAACTGGTTACCTTCCCATCCTGGGAGAGTAAGATGGAGTCGGATTTGATGTCGCGGTGAATGACTCCATTAGAGTGGAGGAAGGAGAGAGCTTTCAGGCAGGCTTTACACACCGTGGCTATCTGGTTCTCATCGATCCTACAAACACACACCACAAAGATTATAAAGGTTCATACATACTGTAAACACAATGATTACAAATGTTTGTAATTTAACCCATACAGTCATAATTCAGAGGAATAATTCATTAAAATGGATAACAACTTGAGTTCAAATTTACAAATACAACCCTCCCTGCGCAGAGTGACTTACTTGTTGCTTGTCTGGTTTACTACAATGTCTGTCAGAGCACCACCTTCCAGGAACTCCATCACTACCCATAATTCATCACCCACCAGGAAGCTGTCATACATGTCTACAATGTTTGGATGATGATAGTCCCTCATGATCACCACCTAAATATCAAAATCACAAATAATTAAGATACTGAAAAACTGACATTCACTGAATAAAAAAATAAGGTATGTAACTGTTAATGTCTGTTTATCACAAATAGATTATAAGCATGACTTGTCAAAGATAAACATAAAGTAGTTTGGATCAGATAACCATTGTACATCCATCATAAAAATTGCTACAACATAATGTATTTCAACATATATAACATATAAGGCTACTCCTGACCTCATTAAACAGGAGTTCCCTCCTCTGTTGTTTGCGGAGGTCCATCTTCTTCACGGCCACCTGGGCCCCCGTGCTGGTCTGGGTAGCGATACACACAATGCCCGTCGATCCTTCTCCGATCTTAATGAAGTTATCCAGGTCCTCTCTCGGATCTCCTGGGCTGACCACCATTTGTAATGCTGCTCTGAACTATAACAGCAAAGAGTGATCGATTACAATTTATATTATGCTGCTTACTGAACTGTAATAACACAAAGTAATTTATTACATGTATCTAATGCTGCTCTGAACTGTAATTCAAAGTAATGCTGCTTCGATACTTAATTACTGGGCCCTGGCTTAATACTGTAAAAATACTAATACATTGAATTGTTATCTCCGTCTCATACTACCTGTGGAATAACATATTTTAAATACCTTATACCTCCAGTTACATGGTTAAACTGAAGATACAGTATAGATTGTGTGTACATTTCACACCTATCAATGATACCAAAGTGTGGGTGTAAATCAATCCTGATACTTCATCCTTCGAGTTTTTTCCTTAAAAAACAGCTTACCATTAAACAGATACAATGTAGTTTAATTACACAGGTGCAAAACTTCATCTCTTATCCTAATGACAAGCCAGCATTTATCTCTGTAAGGACTGCCTGACCTGTTAATGTGACAGACTTCAGGTATTTGATGACCTGTACCTTACTTGTACATGTGATAGTCTGTTGTTCAGGTTTTTGACCTGTTCATGTGATAGTCTTGGCTGTTCAGGTATATACCTGTGATCCCCTGTATATACTGTTGTTCAGGTTTTTGACCTGTTCATGTGATAGTCTTGGCTGTTCAGTTATATACCTGTGATCACCTGTTCCTTACCTGTTCATGTGATAGTCTCTGTTGTTCAGGTATTGACCCGCTGGGAGGAGGTTTGGTGGGGGATTGCTGAGGAGGCCCCATTTTAGGAGGTGCCTGTTGATAGCCCTGCTGTGGATGAGGTACCTGAAAATGTGTGTTACAGATGTTCAGCATGTGTATTGTACTAAGCACAAGATAGGAAGAGTGGGGTCTTGTTTTCATTCTCATCTTTGGGGAGGGATGGGTTGGTAAATGACACATTAATATAAAGATTTTAAGCATTTCTAGATAAATTGGTATTAAGATTTCAATGCATTTTTTGGGGTATTTCTTGTAATTTTTGTACATACCAATGTATATATATTCTGAAAGCAGGTATTGTATTGTTTCTGAAAATGATTATAAAAATTTCATTTCAGTTGCCATGGCAACGAAATACACCATAATCATGCTGAATTTCCATTTATTAAATAATGAGTTTCATTCTAGTTTTTTTAATTAGTTAAATATATTAAAAAATGTTTTATTGTTGTGTTGAAAATTTTAATAATGTTGGACATTTTTGCACGAACCAATTTAAAGTTTTTTGGGGGGATTGGGTAGGGTTGGGGTGTAAACACCAAAATTTAGCATTTTTACAGATAACGTTTTACCCCTGCATTGATTTCAATAATGGCAAAATCGCTCAAATAGTCGTTTTGAAGCATTTCTGCATTAAACTTAAAAATATACCTAATTAGTGACGTCATATTTCAAGAAAGGTTTTTCATCATGCCATATTCTTTAATGATTTATCATATTAATCTACTCAACTATTGTTTAAGCCAATTTCATAACTTTTTACAAACAATACGTTTTTAGGGCACAATAAAGCTCAAACCGTACCGTCTTCTTAGATACAAGTCAAAGGAAAAATGAGATATCAAAAGATTCAAAACAGCAAGGTTAAATTACATAATGAAAGACTGGTTGGGACTTCCAACTAATTTTGACTTTTTAATGGTACACTGTACAAGAAATCAAGTTCAAGATATCACAATTTAACTGTAATTTGCTTCTACTAATCTAGAAAATAAAACATCCAAGAAATTTGGATAATTCTATTTTTTTTAAATAAGTGATAAAAAGTTATGTTCCCTTTAACTTTTGATACTTACATTATCATGATGAGGCAGGGGCTGCTTGTTGAAACCTTGCATTCCTTGGTGACGATTAGGACCTGGCCCGTTGGAGATTTGATTATGTCTGAAATCTTCAGGGTGCCTAGGAGGACTCCTACCCCCGTGAGGCATTCCCGGAGGCATGTGGTTATATTTGGCAGGTGGGTACGACATTTCCTGGTCACGTGACCTATCATGATCAAAGGAATCGTTAGGACCCCGCCGGTCCATAGTGTCATTGTTAGGCTGCCTTCTGTCAAAAGAGTCATTGTGACCTCTTCGGTCAAAACTGTCATTCGGACCTCTCCTGTCGAAAGAGTCATTTCCCCTCCTATCAAAGGAATCATTCCCTCTCCGATCAAATGAATCGTTTCCTCTTCGATCGAATGAATCGTTTGGACCTCTGAAGTCCTCGGAGCGTCGTTCATGCTCCATCATGTGTCCGTCCCTGTACCCCTGGGGTGGGGGCCCTCTGTTGGGGTAATCCCGAGGATCCCGCTGGTATTCTCTGGGATCCCGCTGGTAATCCCTCGGGTCTCGATATCCTCTAGGGTCTCTGTTATCTCTCCTGTGGTCGGGAGGAGGGTATCGAGGATCCTGTCGATAATCACCTGGGTACTGGTCAAAGTTTGGGTCCCCTCGTCCATTTGTGGGATAGCCTGGGGGAATCCTGTCTTGGTTCGGTGACCGGTCGTGTTGAGCCTCGGGGACAGGGTACATGGAATCGGGAACGTACCTCCTCCTCTGCTGTGGGGGGCTGCTCTGTCGTAAGGAGTTTGACCTGGCCACAGAAATCCCTCCATGATATCCATTTAACTGAGCAGAGCTTCCCCTGATGACTGTCTGTAATAGGTCAAGGTCATTTTCAATTAAAGATCACATATTTTGCTAAGGACAATTTTTTTTTAATCTCTCTGTAAAACAAATTAGCATTATCTTTCAAGGTCATCATTATAAAACTAATGTAAACAATATCCAATATGAAAGTCAGTTCATGCTGAAAATGAATAACAATGATTATTTTTAATTATAAATTTGCATTGAATAATTCTTTTTCTGGGGGGTTACCTTGAGGGGTTGGATTTCCATGTCTGTGATAGTTGAGGGGTCCACCATGGGTTTCCGTCGTTCCTGCTGCTGCTCCGGAATAATAATTCCCATCCACTGAGGGGGGAGACCCACATATTTCCCATGCTCAGAGTCAAACCCTGTGTGGACTCGGTGCTCAAAGTTCAGAGGTTTAGAAATTTCTGGTCTCTTCTTATTTTTCTTGAACATGGTGAAATATCTGCAAAAATCATCAAGCAACATCTTTGAAGACATTTATATACACTAGCTTGCAGAAATTGATAGATTACTTAATCCCTGAATTTTTCACTAACTGTATTCTGCTGCTATGCTGATAAGCCTATAAAAAATAAACTGGATCTAACAAATAAAGTCAGGTAACATTAGTAGATTAATGTGTGACATATATCTCTTGTTTCGTTGTAAAGCTTATCAGCTAAAACACAAAGAGGGAAAGTAATTAGGGTATTCCATGGCTAAACAAACTCCGACTCCTCATAACAGATATCAAAACATTATTCTCATGGAACAGTCTGCCATGTACATGCAGTCAATGAGCATGAAATTTGTCCGATACAAGCATGTCTCATCAATCATTTGTTAAATTGTACATACTGTAGTACAAACTAATTCTGAATAGTTTAATATATCTTCTTCAAAAACATCTTTTCCTAATTCTCAATTCTCTTTATATACATTTATTACCTATCATAACGCCAAACAAAAAAAGAAATTTTGTTTTGCAAAAGAAATTTTAGCAGCATTAATGACAGTAAATACACGTAAGCATAATGCTACAGAGCAATAGAATGAAATACTTAAACCAATTAAAATCAGAATATATCCAGATATAGACAAACCAACTAAATAAGAATTTCCAAAACCCAGGGCAGAATCAATCTATTTTAAAAATCTAATCAGTTGCTATAGAAATTAATTAAGCGCTTTGGTTGCATTTTCCCCCATGCCTTATAATAAATGACTCTTCCAACCAAACAAATCATGTAATTAAAATGAACCAATACATAAGACCCTGTAAATTATCAGCACAATGGGAATGGTCATACTGCGATATAATTTTTTTTAAGAATTCCAGCTATGTTACTCATTTTGTGGCATTGTTAGATGAATCCTCGCACACCCTGTATGTTATATGGTGAATGAGTGAATTTTTGGTTTGACTTGTCAGCCAACGTCAGATTCCGCGGCTCTTCATCACTCCGTCCCGGGATGCACTCAATAATACTCCCCAGTCTGTGTTTTAATGTACAAGTCAGTTTGGATGAGTGTACGTATTAATACACAGAATGACAGTGGCTGATCAATACACAACACAGAGACTGCCAGGGCTCCCACTGGACCAAAAATATTTTTCGCCACTTTTCGCGACAAAAGGAAAGACATACCTACATCTGATTTCTCGACAATGCAATGCACTTTCTCTTATTCATTTTTTTTTAAATTATATTTATCAAAGGCATTTGTTTTAAAATTGTAATGTTTAAAGCTTCTTATAGTATCTATTTAAAAAAAAGAATGTTGGAAAAATACAATTAATTTGATTTTGAATTGATATCAGGCAACTCTTGACAGAAAATGTCCTCATTTTAATATTATATTTTTTTTTTGTCTGGGAAGGAGGGGGGTATAGACCTAGTAAAAATATATGAAATTTTTTAAAAATGGAAATTTTCATTTCATTAATTAATTGTGAAAAGAAGTAATTTAAAAAGTAGGCCCCTGGTGAAAAATAGGTTAAAAAACTTTATTTTATCAACTTGGAGACTCCAGGGTTTAAAATGCAAGCTCATGTAAATGTACATAATTCAGAGTAATTTACTAAGATAATTCTGTTTTCAATCCAATTTCTTTTTCACTCTTTTTCAGTTTATTGTATAATGTACACATTTTTTAATTTTCATTAGATAAAATTTGAAGCCATTCTTTACAATTTTCGTCACGTTTCCCTACTTTCGATTTAAAAAAACGATCTACATAAATCCAGATTTTGTTGATAAAAATCTTTTATTTATAAACTTCATCTTCTAATAACACTTTATCCCCCCTTGTTTAATCCAAATTATATTATTTCAAGCAATTTTGTAGCCCTTTATTGCTCAAGGCTAATTACCTAGTCAGCTGTGTTAGTTCAAGCGAGACGTGATTTCCTACATGTGGGTTTCAGTTTTCACACCTCTGCTGCATTAAATAAACAGAGGGACCTATCTGTGTACATTGAATAAACAAAGGAGCTAACCAGGACTACTCAAATTTTGTACATGGTACATCTAAAAAATTCATTATTCGTTTTCGCCACTTATGAATTTTTTTTCGCCACTTCTGAAAAAAATTCGCAATTGGCGACAATGGCGAATCACAGCTCGAGCCCTGGAGACTGCATGTGATCTAGCAAGTATATATTAAATTGATAAAATATATGTACCTGTCTACATTTATCATTACAGAGACGACAGAATTAAATCAACAACTAATCCAAAGAACACTTATTTTCAACATGTTCAATAAAATATAATAAATTATTATACCTTCACTTGGTATATACCTAAAAATCACTTAGACTATACATGGTTTAATTGTTATTACTAGGTAAATAAGATGAAACTGCCAACAATATATGAGTTTCCTTCATGATCCTCATCCGAGAATATTCAACATAGCTTTGTGTTTAAAAGTTTCTTTAATTTTGTTTTCAAAATGATAAAGGAACAACAATAGATAATGACCACCATAATTTGATGATAAAAGATATTTTTGCATCAGTGCGTATAGTTTGACTGATAGAAAAGAAAAACACACACAGCATAGGGCACAAATCAGCAGTAATTTCCATAATCCCATTATAGTTAAAAGTCAAAACACGGCCAGGAATCTGATAAATACATATGTCCTCTTTAATCCAACAACTAGCATAAAACACAAACCAAAACTGCACATTTAGTCTGCAAAAACTGAACTGAATTCCAAAATTTATCATTATACATGTAATTGTGATCTTTTCTTTAATATTAAGAACACTCTGCTAATCAAAAACCATGAGTCAGTGTCCATTCGAAATTCTTATTAATTTAACTCAAGAAAGACATCAAAATAATTTTTTTTCAAGATCTAAAAAATATAAATTACCTCTGCATCTTGGAAAATATTACATGTACAAAAATCCACACACTTTACAAAACTGCTACACACTTCCAAAAAGTTGTTCTCTGAACATTATAACTTCTACATGATAAATCACTTACAGTACAGAATTTCCCTCATGCTCTAGATGTTCTATATGTAAAGTTTAAAATCCAATAATGCACAAGGCTCTCAAGATTAAAATGTGTTAAACTCGTTAATTTCTTAAACATATGGTTCAGAACATCAACTTACACATTTGCAAAAAGCTTTAACCTCTAAATGCTGAACATCTATTTTCTACAGCTTTGCATACCAGTGGATGGTAAATGAAATGTTCTCTCTACGCTTTCAATTATTGAACAATTTTGTGTCATTTAAAGGGATCCAATACTTGAAAACAAACACCATATGATAAATTTTTTAAAAATCTGAAACTTAATCTGCATGCTGTAAATGATTAATTAATCTAAATCATCTCTCATTTCATTGATAAGTTACATCTTCACATAAATCACTGTGCTGATTACTTATAGACTAGTGGTTGAAAGTAGTACTTAACACGTGTAGACATGGTAGCTGAGTGGAGTTTGGAAATACGAATCAAATTTCATTTGGCTTAAATAAAATTCTCAATTTGAGTTGGAGGGGGGGGGGGGCAAAATATTCACTTTCAACCAAATTTAAGTTCAAAACAAAACAGAAGAAATAAAAGATTAGCTATTTGTAACAATTGTTCCATGTATGTTATGTACACTATTAGTCTATTATACAATTTAAATTTATAAGCATTAAGCTCATTGCAGGTAGTTGGTGTTAAACCCTCCCATTAGGGAATATACATCTTCGCTAGCCAAGGGTTTCCGATCCAATACCTACTCTACAACCCTTGGCAGATTTGGCTGAAAATTTTAGAACTCGCGCAAACGAATTTGATTGGCTGCGAAGTCCGTCTACGCAAGGTTTTTACTAATCGACGATTTTCGGCTGATTAAAGTCTGTTCGTGTTTTATGCAAAATAAGAGTAATATTTACAAGGGATGAAAGTTAGGACGTGATATATGCTTAAAAAACAAGGGATTAATTAATTTGAATTTTTTTCTTTTAATTATATATGTTTTCAAGAATTATTGAAAGGACCACATAAGTCCGTGTTCCGCATTTTAGGTGCATCAATTTAAGCCAATCAAATGTTTGATAGGTCTAAATCTGCCAAGGGTTGTAGAGTAGATTTTGGATCGGAAACCCTTGGCTAGCGAAGATGGGGAATATACTGAACATGTATAGGGAACAAAGATATTAAAAAGATATGTTCTAATAAAACATATATGTATGCGATACATCATACATGCAACTTAGTCTTAATCAAAACAATATACAATAAAGGCAAAATATCACAGAACTTAAGGTCATATGAATTGAAGTATTGGACATGGTTGATGAAAAGAGAAAAAGGAAAAAAATATATAACAAAATTTGATGAAAAAAAATTACCTAATGATATAACATGTTAATTACATAAATCTCTAAATTTCTTTACTGTACATTATTTAATTTACTGTCATATTTGACACTGGATACCTTACCATGTGAACTTATTCGGTGTACAGTCACTATGTAGCATCATCATATCAGTCTATCCAATATACATACTGTTATATCTTTGTTAATCATGTTAATTATAGGCACATTACAATTTTGTTTTTAACTGCAGTATATCTATATGCTTTCAGTAAAACTTTTTATTTCTACACAATATAATTTGTGTCTCCTTTCCCCAAGCACGCCTGAATTTGGCTGAAACATGTCCGATTATTTGAAGCCTGGACAAGGAAATCACGTACTTGCACTAGACCAAATATGTCACTTATCAGCGCTGGGTCAGGATGTTGCATAAATATTTTCGCATGAGTAATTTCCAGATGTACCAGTGGCATCTACGTGCTATAACATACGGCACCGTAATTACTGGTACTAGTTTACCTGAATTCACAGGTGAGAATCAAGGTAGCGTTGTCTTACCTGCTTTCGCATGGATTCCGCCATTGTCGAGAGACACTGATTAAATCACAAATATAAGATATAATAATTGGCCTGATTGTTGGCGTGATGTGAGTCAGTTTAAAGACCTGGTCATGAAATGTTTGACATTTTTTGCATTTCACACACCCTTTTCACCCATAAACAACATCCCAAAGTTCCAAATGAACCCGGTTAGTCAAATATATTATTGTTTTTAAGAAAGAGAATAAATATTTCTACTTTCTACTACTAAAAAGCTTATATAAACTTACCTGTTCTGCAAAATAGCGTATATTATTTACATTTTCTCAAGCCATTCTCGCCATTTTGAGTTACATACGGGATATTCGGTTTACCTGTCCACTAGATGTCGCTACAAATCGAACCTCAAAGACCGCGAATATTCAAACAGTGAATTTCTGGTGTGTGTAGGGTCTCATTTCAGAGTTAACCGGACAACGAAAATAAAAATTGATGTTGAATTCTTGACTATAATTAATTTATTTACTTTAATATTAATATCATTTTTATTAACTTTGCTTCCCATAACCCCAAGTTATTATGTCAAGATCCCGACTCCCCATTCAAGATTATTTTTGAATTAAATGTAAAATTGAAAGTCAAGATATATCATTCGGCAATGTTATGTTTAATTTTAATATCTCTTCATGCAATGACTGTGTAACAATATTATTACTATTCCATATTTGAAATACTAGTATTAATGCTACGTTTCCCTTACTCTATTTAAGAAGTGGCAATAATCATCAAGATCAGTTATATTATTGCCTGGGCTTTATCAGCTGTTTAAGCAGAATGAGGTATATAGATGTCTACTTTTTGTTATACCCCCCCTTGAAAAGTGGGAGGGTATACTGTAATCGGTATGTCTGTCCATCCGTCCAGCTGTACGTCCGTCCGTCTGTCTGTTACACTTTGGGTACCCATCTCTTATCTGCAACTCCTCTAATACCACTGCGTGAAATGTAATGAATTAACTTTCACAGAATCTTTATTACATAATGCCATTGTGACCTCCTATTTTACTTTTTGATCCGACACATATTTTGGGTTTCCCGGCCACAGCAAAACATGGACTTTGCCATAATGATTATAACCATACGGGAGGCGAGGGGTATCATTTAGTGAGCTCATTGCTCACAGTACCTCTAGTTTTGTAAAATTTGAGCATTTTGTAAATGAATAACTCCTGACCCAAAAATATTAAATCTGTAAAAAAAAAAATTGCTGTCATCAACTCATGATTTGAAGCTCAAATTGAACTACAAATAAAATTCCATATAATTCATATATTGAATGCAAAGTTATACAGTCTTCCAATATTATTTCCTCTTTCAGTTGATAAAGGTTCATACTCAGCCAAGTCTCTCCTAAATCTTTGACCATTTTTACCTCATCATAGCTCTGTGCTCTCTAAGGAAAGCCATCCACATTGATTTAGCACACTTCTCTATAGAGTTTTATTTCCTCTCTTTATTCAAACTCTTTAGTATGCCCTGTAGGACTGATGTTTAAATTATTGTAACAGAAAGGGAGAAAATGTATGGCTGGAGCGGGAATCGAACCTGGGACCCCTGTATCTCCAGTCAGGTGCTCTACCAACTGAGCTATCCAGGCCAATATCCACGGCCCAAACCATTACATTCCTCCCTCCTTAAATGGTCTTCGCCCTCGAAGACACAACCCAAGTTATTATTACCCCCTGGCAGGACTTTCACCTGCAATTCCAGGCTGGACCGGGAATCGAAAGCGGGACCCCTGTATCTCCAGTTGGTTGCTCTAACCAACTAAACTATCCAGGCCGATATCCTCGGCCCAAACCATTACAATATAAATACAAGGTGCACAATAGCACTATGTAACAAATATTCTGTGAAAGTCTCATTAAATTTCATTCAGTGGTGTAGGGAGTTGTGGATAAGAGATGGGTACCCCAGGGCATAACAGACAGACATACAGATGGACACACCGAAGTATGGACATCCTGCTCACTACAATTTCCTCCAACTTTTCAAGGGAGGGTATAATTAAAAGCCAACAACATATTTAGAGGTAAACACATGGTTCTGTTTAACACTTTATTTTTCATTATTTTAAAATAACATCCCAGATATATTCATGAAAACATACAACCATAACCTGCAACAATTCAATATATTTCCATGAAATCTTACAATTTTTATATAAATTAATATCCTCTTAATACTTGAAGCATAAATTAGATACATTTTACAAACTATCTCAAAGACAGCTTCATCATATTGATAACTGTCTTACATTATTCAGAATTTTACTCAGAGTTCCATTAGTCAGCTCTGTATTGATCAGACAGGAACACTGGTTTGACACTTATCTTGATCTTCTAATTTACTCACTTAATTAGACAAAAAAAATCTTAATCTTAGATCTTTTTGATTCTCCATTTGCAGAAACTTATCTGGTTCTAGAGTAGA